CACACACACACACAACATCTCTTAAATGTGGCTGAACATCAGAGCTCTCATCCTGGATTGTTTGATCAGCTGTTGATTATTCAGTATCCTCCGCCGTCTCATGTTTGTTATATGTTCCTCTTCCTCTATTCGATTACCTTTGCGATGGATTTATGCATAACAGGTGTTGTTTGAGCCCCGTGAGCACACCGAGAGCATGATGCTTCAATATCTGTGTTTCCTCCCGATTTGATGAACAGTGAAACAAAGAGACCGGGGGCAGTTTTTCTTGTTTTTATCGTGAGAAGAAGAACAGAGCCTGAAAGGAAGAGGGGGGAAAAAAATGAGGAAATAAAAGGTAGGTTATCTCCCCCCGCCACCCCACCCCACACCCTCTCTGTCTCTCCAACACACATTTTCACAGACTGATCCACGAAAACACAGCAGAGGTTATTTTGACACCTGTTCATCGGTTTTTCACTCCACCCGGTGTGTGTGTAGGCCTTTGCTGATATGGCAGCCATTTAATCAGCTGAAATATATTCGTCCATAAGGGGGGGATTGGGCTGCTGTGCATGATTGGACTGCTATGCATGATTTTTTTTTAAACAAACAAAGAAAACAATAAGATTGCTATTAGAGGAAAGCATATGGTGTTGATGGCCTACATAGAGAGGCCCACCCAACGCAGCATCACTGTGTGTTGTTCCAGTCTCACCCCCACATGCAAGTTTTAGGGTGTCAGATTTGGCGTGTGATCAGATTGATGTATTTATTGTTCCGTTTTTCATTTGAATTAAGGTTACTCGAGGCTCTTTGCTTTCACGACGGGCCAGACTGCCGTCGTTCGATCCTCCTGTTGAGCTGAACCTAACATTTGAACACATAGACGAACGGTAGAAAAACCAAATGGCTGCCTGCTCTGCTGTCATATTCACCGTATTTGTTCTGTGCTGTGAATGGTACAGATTACACCCTGTGCTCTTTAGCTGGTTGTCACAGGCGCGTGCACACACACACACACGCACACACGTACACGTATGCACACAGCAGCACACGGAATGCATGAAATGTTCTTTGCTCATTTACAACGTCCCTGTTTGTTGGACATGCCCAGTGTTGGTTATGCTGTGTCTGCTCCATCCCCCTGTACACCCCCATGCATTCACTCAAACACCCACACTTGCACAAAGTATGTGAGCAGTAGTATCTTAGCAACGGGCAAGGTAATTACTGAGAGAGCCAAGGAGCTGGCATGCTGTAGAGCTGCTGATCTGATCCCAGTGTTTGAGAAACAGGAAGGCAGAGATTTCCACCGTGTCGCCCGACACGCCACCCCGACATCCACGCCGTCCCCGTTTAAGTTTGGCTTCTGTTGGGCGGACGGGCTTAACGAGGCAGGGCAGACATCTTGCCTTCTCATTCTCCAAAAAATGTGTGTCTCTGTTTCGCAGGTGGCGAGGCTGTGGACAAAGAAGAGGGATGACTCTGCCGTGTAGTAAAGAACCCCGCGGCCTCTCTTTGTAAAGACGAGAGAGCCACAGCAGACAGAAACAAGTAGGAGGATCCTTGCTGTTCACAAGGGCCCCAGAATCAGGCTGCTTCTTCTGATAGAATGGCTAACCAGACCTTTGCCATCGATGGCCCGGGCAGTTTGCTGGCGGTGCTGGCCTCCCAGAGTGGAATGGCGCGAGGCGGCAGCAGCAGCAGCGATGGCAGCAGCAGCAGTGGCGGGATCTCCGCCACCGACGTGTCCGCCTACTTTAAGCTGGTCTTCTTGGGCCTGATCATCTGCATCAGCCTCGTGGGCAACCTCCTGGTCTCCATGCTGGTGCTGCGAGACAGGACACTTCACAAGGCCCCCTATTTCTTTCTCCTGGACCTGTGCCTGGCCGATGCGGTGCGCTCCGCCGCCTGTTTCCCCTTCGTGCTGGTCTCCGTCCACAACAGCTCGGCCTGGACTTACAGTGCCTTGAGTTGCAAGGTGGTGGCTTTCATGGCCGTGCTGTTTTGCTTTCACGCTGCCTTCATGCTGTTCTGCGTGGCCGTCACCCGCTACCTTGCCATTGCCCACCACCGTTTCTACGCCAAACGCATGACCATCTGGACCTGTGCCGCAATCATTTGCATGGTGTGGACTCTGGCCGTCGCGATGGCGTTCCCGCCCGTCTTTGATGTGGGGACTTATAAGTTCATCCGTGATGAAGACCAGTGCATTTTCGAACACCGCTACCTGAAGACCAACGACACCCTGGGGTTTATGCTCATGCTGGCCGTGGTGGTCCTGGCCACCCACGGCTTCTACGCCAAGCTGCTGTTGTTTGAGTACAGGCACCGCAAGATGAAACCGGTCCAGCTGGTGCCAGCCATCAGCCAGAACTGGACCTTCCACGGTCCTGGGGCCACGGGTCAAGCTGCAGCCAACTGGATTGCGGGGTTCGGTCGTGGCCCCATGCCACCCACCCTGTTGGGAATCAGGCAGAATTTACACAATCAGCACCGGCGGCTGCTGGGGATGGAGGAGGTGAGGTCAGAGAGGAGGCTGGGCAGGATGTTCTACACCATCACCCTGCTCTTCCTGGTCCTCTGGGCGCCCTACATCGTTGCCTGCTTCTGGAGGGTCTTTGTCAAGTCCTGCACCATCCCTCATAGGTACCTCTCCATCACGGTGTGGATGAGCTTCGCCCAGGCCGGAGTCAACCCCATCTTCTGCCTCCTGCTTAACGAGGACCTGAGGAAAGTGCTCAGAGCTCACCTGCCCACTTACTGGAGGACTAAACAACACCTCCCGCAGGACGAGGCCTACTGCATCATGTGAGACCAAGAAATGAGGTTGATGAGGAGAATGTTTCAGTTTCGAAGGGGGAAATTTACAGAAGGCATGTAATGCACTGGGTCAAAATGTCAGTGTCTCTTTTGTCCTTTTGCACAGCAAAATCACCTTTTTGCTAACAAATGCAGGCACAGTGCCAATGTATGAAGAATGTGGATTTCTGAACAGACGCGCGACTTGCAGAGGTTCAGGCAGGCCTATAGGAAAGCCCTGGTGACACTTGGACGGCTTGCGTTTCTGATGTTGTAAAGTACGATCCATAGATTGGAAGCAATCACCGATCAAGTTAAGTGCGACAGATGCCATTTTAAAAATAACGTTGCCTTATTTTTCGATGTGGACACGCCCCTGAGCTTTCAACCGAGCACTAGTTTGTGTCAAATAAGGCGCTAAACAGATGCAAACCGCTGAAGAAATGTGCCGTGGACTGTGAATAGAGGGTGCTGATCTGAGTGTTACAAACTCTGAAACACATCAAAGAACTCGAAGGGTCTGAATGGAACGATAGAACACCTCGGACTCTTTTTCATGTAATTCAAAGGAGACTGCAGAATATTAGGCGGACCCAATAACCTTTGAAACATTTAAATAGCTGTTGTGAACCCAGAAGCCCCTAACATGCTTGATTTCTTTGGACTTGATTTAGGGCGTGTCAGGTCTTTGTATCATAAAAAAATAAATGCCTGTTTTGCTTTATTTGTAAACAATACATGTTAAGCAGATGACACTATTTTGAAATATGACTTGATTTCATATTGTATAGACTGTACAGGAATGTTCATTCCTGCTTGTGTGTTTTTATATAGCATTTGTGTGTATGTGTGCGCGGCAGGAGAAGTAGAAATACGGGAGGGGAGGAAGGCAGAAAGAGATTGACAGAAGTAATGATGATAGGACGGGGATCCGGTAATACTAAGTCAATATAAAAGCAGCCTCATTTTGTGGTCTCAAAATCATGCAAAATTGAGCAATCATCATATGGAAATTGAGCCTTTAAATGGATTTCTGCAGCTGGAAATGTGGTGCGATTTATTTCTTTTTTTCTTTAATGTGTATGCGCAACTAAATGTGAAATACGGATGGATAAAGAAATGATAATGTATCAGTTGTATATTGCAAACAGGCCGTAGGATTTAATAACTTGAACGATGATGTGTGTCTTTTACATCGTCTGAACAAAGTCATGGGCAAATGTACATTTGCGAATGGCGGTTTTAGGAATGTACTTAAGTGCTGAACTGTCACTGTATGATCTCTCCAGCATTCAGCAAAAAGAGGAAAAGAAGTGACCCTTAATGTCAAATGAAACATAAATGTCATAATTGAGTGTCTGAATCACAGTAGGCTTTAAAACAAATTAACTTCAGGCTAGTAGTTGAAAAACTGGCTTAGACTACACTGAATTGTCTCTCCTAAGATTCATGTAATGCAAATGTCTGACATATGGCGCATTAAGCATATATATATATATATGCAAATGCAGTCAATTTGTGGACACTTGCACTGCATCATACTGTACTAGCATGCATTCCACTGCATTTCATAGATTCAAGACTGGGTATTACAATTTGTACAGATGTTGATATGGAAAGATGAAGCGAACAGTGAACAGAGGTTCATCATTTTTACGTCTGGCATTCCTTCACAAGATGATATTCTGTAACTGTACAGTTTACCTGAGGTGGTTCTTTTGCCCACTCATCAATAAAGACTCTACTTTTGACGCACTGTGAGTTATGATCTACCTGGGCAGACATCACGAACGACACTCTGCATGCACTCCTGAACGTTTACAAAGCAGCTCTATTCACGAGACCATCGCTTGATCTTTGTCGATGCATTAATGGTGGAAATCTTCTTTGGACCTTTTGCCGATTACAGACTGAATGTATCTATGCAATGATAAGCCTATGGCAGTCAGTATTACTTACACAACAGACAACTTCCTGACTGCGAAATAAATCACTATGTAGGCCCAAATGTGTTTTGGTATGATCAGCTTTTGTAAGAAAAAAAAAGCTGTGTTACTTCCTTTTGCATGTTACACAGCTTTGAACAGTAAGCCAAAGTACACAGTAAATCAATCGCGGGGGGAAATGGGATGTGGCATGAAACTAGCATACGCGTACAAGTGGCCATGGACAGGCTGTGAGGAATCTTAAAAGAGTTTCATGTTAAGTTTATCATCATCAGCATCTGGAGCTTGAACTTGATGTTGATGCTGAGAGGCAGAACTTTGATGTGTGATCCCATGACTCTATTAACATTTAATCGAGGACTGGATTGAAAAACGATGACTGTGAAAATCATGCCTATAAAAGAAGCTGTCTCTGTCTACCAGCTTTTTAAATGGCAGATGAAGACTTTTTTTTCAGCGGAATTGCTTTAAAGTTGCATCCAAGCTCTGAAATGACCAAAAGAAAGTATGTTTTATCCTTAAATACCGACAAACCACGTGACTGAGATGTCAATGGCAAAAGCGTTCAAATCCCCGTTAGAAGGTTTGGTGTCAGACTATAATTAAAAGCTTTAACGTATATGACCAAAAACAAAGAAGGGATAGCGATTATGGAGGAAACTCTTTCATTATGAGTGCAAGTATGTTGTTCACAGCTCACAGAAGGGACAGAGGATCAGATGGACCAACTCTCTACAAAACTGAAGATTCCTCAGACACTGATTAGAACATCTCATGCAGATTTGGACCTCTGGATGCAATGACCAGTATTTTATAGAGATTCTGTCAAAGCTTTCCTTTCAAAATAAATGAGAAATGTTGTCAAGAACATGGAAGCTTGAATAACACACAATAATATGCTGCTTTGTGGTAAAAAGAAAACAAAACTATATAGGTTCTATGTGTTCGGTAAGCCTGGTGTGGCCAGCCATGTTCAATAATCACACTAAGATGAAATAGAAAAGGTCTGAGGAAATAACATGTCTGGGTTTTAATTGAAATCCAGCTTCTGGTTGGTTGTGTAACCTCTGAAAAACAACCTGCGTACGCTTTTAATCTGTCAGAGAGCTCATTTCCATTGTCTCTATTAGGCTGCTCCACCTCTGGAAGAAAGATGTCTGTTGTGGGCAGCATCCTCCAGATGTTCCAGGTCGAACAGGTTGTTTTGCCTCCTTCTCCTCAGTTCTAATGCTGAACCTTCATCTAGTGGTTTATTTTTAGTTTTCTTCCCGCCTCTCACCAAGACGCTGCACAACAAAGGCTGTCTTGCTCATTTGTGAAATCCCCCCCCCTCCCCCCCTCTCCCACGTTACATTTGGAAGATGCACGGTGCTCCGGACCCGCCTTGCACGATAGTTTAGTTGTTTGTATCAGATGTGAGAATTTTGCATTTGAAACAAGACAGTAGATCCATGAACCACAGCGCTTTCCAAGCAATTCTGTCCTGTCTTTTGCTGCTTGATCGTTTAAAACTTACACCGAGGTTCCTGAAAACGTATACGTTGGGAAAATGGTGTATATTCAGCATTCATAACATTTCATGTTCAGAAATCTTTCATTAGTTGCCATGCATTATTCATAATCACAAAAAGAATTAATGAAGTCTGTTCAGTGTACTATAACCCACTTATAAATGTGCTTATAATTACATTCATTAAAGGCATGACACTCATAGAGTTCTTTTTTCCTTTTCCCCTCCCAGTATTATGATGTGAGAATAATTTTTCTAATTTCCACACATGCATGATTCTGTTGGTGGAACACAGATGCATCATTCTGATGGCTTATCAGAAAATAAGAGATTTCCTCCATAAAATTGAGTTTGTTGCGATCCATCCTTCAGACAAATTTCAAAGAATTTTCGAAAGAGAAAATTTCGAGGTATCACCAGATCCCTTTTGTCAAATAATAATAACGGAAAAAGGTGAATGTCTCTTAAATTTGTGTTTTATTGATTAACTTATTGTCATATATTTGTTTTACCACTTAAACAGAAAAATGCATCCACATGAAAAGTGTGAAAAGTTGATTCTTATCAAGTTATGTTACCACAGATTAACTTGTGATATATTACAGGACATTGATTCTTTGCTTCTTTTCATATTATCACAAATGGGAGGAAAAAAAGGCCCGGTTGACAACTGCTGGATTTTGGATAAATAGATCTCCTTTTCCAAGACTGAGCATTGTGCTGACTTGAGAATATGTTTTATGCACAGCTAGCATGGCAAATTGAAAATGACAAGAATATCAAGTCAGTATCAAAATGACCAGATAACCTTGTTGATTATGTCGGTTTCCTCCTAACAAAAAATGTAAAAACACAACATTTCAATGGAAGCTTTTTAAGCCCCAAGCAGGCTGGAAATAGAGTTAAGAATGCAGTCCTACCGTCCCTTTGTAAAAATTTTCCAATACATAATGACATTTTTCATCTTTTCCCACTAATACGACTAAATAAAACCATTTTAACACATCTTCCCCAGCTTTTTTATATCATGAAGTTACTTCGTATTGTTTTAACTGAAAAGCTGCTATAGACGCATATGTGTCTCTAGTTAGGAATTAGACCATAACAAATGAAGAGGTTCAAGTGGGGTTCATTAGGTTGCAAAGACAAAAAACACTGAGGGGGAATCATCAGTCTCATAACATCTATCAACTGTGGGGTTTGTGATTCTGGTAGCAAAGTTCAGTCAAAGTTATCTGACAAAATGCATCAGTCAAAACCCTAGCTGGCTACCCTTTGGTGACACAGGCTGAAATGTGAGGTGATCATAGAAGTCAGTATTTGTCCTTTGGGGAACTCCGGCGCTAAATTTAATGTATCTGGTGTTCTTTGTAAAGAATCTGTCAGAGAACGATGTTTCCTTTTTTCTTTTCCTTTAATCCCTCAGCCAAAGGACACAAAAAGGTTCAAACATATCTAAGAAGTCATCAGAGATATTTCATCTTTCGAAGAGCACGGGTGGATTTTTAAAAATTCTACTTGATATCGCGAGTGCGCTGTAAAATGATGAAACACAATGTGTGACCACCTTAAAACTGACGAGCGTTTGCCTCAAAATTCATATCAATAGAAACCTTTTGTGATAAAAGAAACACAGAAAACGGACAATTACAGCAGTTTATTGTGTGTTAAATAACATGAAAGTGCGACCGGCATAAACGGACAACACGCACAAGTACAAACGCATATAAACACACTTCAGGTTCATGAGCATGGGTTCGATGTGCCTACAGCTTCATGCACGTGGCGTCGAATGCGAAAACGGGCAACTGAGAGCGAACACTTGTGCTTTACGTTGGATCGCACAGCTTAAATATCAGTTATGTAAATGGTGAACTAGATCTATGCCGGGGGGAACGTCGGTGTTATCCAGTGTTGCTTTATTCGGTGAGATTAAGCTGCACCTTCTTCATGTGGACTGAAACCATATCCACACAAGCTGGTGGTAAGCCATGACACATGCATGGTTATAGTGCTCTTTCTTTACTGAAAAGCCAGCTGCAGCTGTAGGAGGACTGACACACACAAACACAGCTCACCTCCCACCCAATGGAGCTGGAAGCCAACCCACTCACCTACATGAGATGACGCTCTACTGGATTGCACTTGAGTATCATTACATTAAACGTTTGATGCAGCCGGGCAACGCTCCGGTAACGCCTATGGACCGCTGCTGGACGGTGGAAATGGGGCCGGGGATGGAGGTAGGGGGACCCATCATTTCTGCTCCCGCCTCCAGATGATGACCATGCCCGTGGAGTCGGCCGACGCCAGCAGGCTCTCGTCACAGTTGAAGCTCACGTCCAGGACCGGCCCCCCGTGACCCTGCAGCTTGTTCACGATGGCCTTGGTGTTGCGCTCCACGTCGAAGAAGTAGACGCAGGTGTCCTCGCTGCCGGTCACTGAGACACAGGGGGAGACGCCCCAAGATGAGACCGGGGGGGGGGGGGGGGGGGGCAATGAGCCCAACCAGAGGAACAAATGGCAGTTGTCTCTTTGAAACAAGCCATTTTGGGCCCAGAACTAGACTTGTGCATAAAAAAAGAGGATAATCTTTTATCCCAGATTTCTTATCTTTGATTTGTCTCCTCTTGAATTGGCGCCGACATCAAAGACAGTCATTTTAGACTGTCGACCACTGATAGTTAACAGGGATGCAGCGTAGTTTTTTTCTTTCATTCCAATATTGTCAAGGATATATCTGAGAGAAAAATATTTCTGAGGGAAACTTTATCAAAGTTCCATAACCTTGAATATAATCAAGTTGGGACTGATTTGTACTTGTGAAAGCTGATAACAGCCGAGTGAGAGGCAGCTCTTACTGTCAGAGAAAAGTTGCTTTGTTGCTGAACTATTGGTTCGATTTGTTTTTATTTTTTGCCTGCATTTTATTTTTCCTCAGCCACTCGCAATAGCCTGCAGCAAGCAATGCACAGTGGTCTAATTTCTTATTCAGATCTCACAGCAGGTGCACTAAGAAACCACAGCAGGAGCGCAACACCACCACCGTAGGAACGCTCAGACTTCTTACCCACACAGGCCCCTTGTCTGAAAGACATGAGAGGGCAGAAGATACTGTGGACGTGCTGAGATCCATGCTGGATGGGGAAGCTCCTCTTCAGCTGGAGCGTTCCTTCGTTGTCTACCACCCTGCAACATGCAACAGATCACAACTGACAACACACAAGGACAGCAATCCTCCAAAGTCTACATGGTTAGATTGAGCAAAAAGAGGCCTGTTATGAAACCCTGTCTCGTGATAAGAGACTGACCTGTATAGCAGCAGCTTATTGACACAGGCGTTGACCAGCAGGGAGGGGTCTCTGGCCTCTCGGCTGATCCAGGACCGAGCAGATATGCTGCAGATGGAGCTGCCTTCGCTCACCACCAGGCGCTTGGCTTTGGTTAGCTTCCCTGTGGGGTCGGGGGAAAAGAGAGAGGGCCGCCGCAGACACACAGCAACCGCGCGCTCCCTCATTATTCAGCGACAACCTGATCAGAATTCGTAATGCGGCCGGTGGAGACGCGGCTACTGTACCTGTTGCCATGTCAAAGAGAAAGGAGAAGATGCTCCCCCTGTCATCGCCGGCCCAAAGGATCCTCCCAGGAGCATCAAAGGAGAGAGACAGCACGCGGCCTGTCAGCTTACTGGAGCCCCCCTTCACCTTCTTCCCAGTGGAGATGTTAACCACCTGCAGGTGGTGCTTGCTGTTTCCCACCTGGAACACAGGACCAGGAGAGAGGACCTTCATCATTTCCACAGGGCAGCCGTTTGGGTCGCAGAGGCTGACATTTAACTTTGGAATTTTTATCAGTGTATATACGCTCATGCATTATTTAGCCCTGGGTATAAAGGCTTCCACCTGGAGATCATGTGTACGGTAAACCGCACAATCAGAGGAGCTTGTGTTGGCGTGTTTTGACAAAAAAAAGAGAGAGCTTTCAGATAAGAGTTTTTTTTGGGTGTTTTAAGTATTTTTCAGGTTGAACCAGTGCCTCATCTCAGCAGTCTTAACATCTTCCATTTCATCGTTGTTTACCTAAATTCCACTTTTCATGAAGGAAAACAAAACCTGCAGAGAATAAGGCTCAAACTATTTTAGTTTGGATGATATGTTGCCCCTAAAATCAATTTCAAGGGACTGACAGCTCAGATTCCACTTTGATCTTTTTCCGACGCATACACACTGCAATGCTTCTTTATATTGTTTGATGTGCTTTAAGAAATATTAAAGCCGGTTTGTGTGTAAAAGAGGCATAGATACCTTGTAGTTACAAAAAGATGGTTATAGATCGAGTCTTCTTCGTAGCAGGGGTACATGCCAATACACAACAATTCAGTGCCGTTTATCAAGTTCTCTCATGGACAGAGGCATATAAGCAGGATCAGGGCCTTAGTGAGATATGTCAAGCCAAGTTTTCATTGTCAATGAAGTCTATTTTCACCTGCCATCACCATGGTAACAGATACTGAATTCCTACCATGCTCCCAAGCAGTTTCTGCTCAGTTTCAGACCAGAAGGTCTGTTAAAGAGAGACCAAAAAAATAAACAACAAACTCCATCCTCCTACTGTTCCTGATTATGTCCCAGACAGCAAAACCAGACTGACAACATCTAAATGTTGTCAAAAACATGCTGGTGTCAGACATCTTTAGAGTCAGTTAGTGATTCTAAATTATTCTCTGTTAGATCATCATGAGGCACTTTCAGTGTTAAACCTCTGCTCTTACAGTTTTCTGATCCCAGTCCTTTTTTTTTCTTAATCACAGATTCTTAATGGTTTCTATACTCTTCACACCTTCCTTATTGAAACAGCCTGCTGTTCTTATGAATGAGGTGTCAGCTAATGGGTGTATTTTGTGAAAAAGCATGTGAATAAGCACTTGAGCGTGCAGAGCCTAAACAGAAAAGTCTGCTTTATAAGAACGATCAGAACCACCGTCTTAGTATCTGTTATCTCTGAATAATGGAATAATAGATCAGGTGTCGTCAACAAACACACACCCACACACACCAAAAAAAAAGAAGAAAAAAAGCCTGACTGTGTTGATCTTGCGTCGTGCTACACCCTCTGGACCAAGCTCTGCCTCTGTGTAACTAGGACAGCAGTGACGTTGGATGGGAGACCATGGCTCTCACCTTCATCCTCAAATTCTGGAAAAATATTTCTTACCCTACAAAAAATAACCTCCCCTTTGTTTCAATTTCTTGTTAAGAACGAAAATAGAACAATGTCTCTGTAATGAAGACAAAATGCCGACAGATAAGGCTAATTGTGCCATTGTGTCATGTCGGCTCACTGCACACCCTCTGGCTGTTTCCATTCATGTCCCACACAAATAAAAAAAATGTAACTTTGAATAGCCAACACAACACTCACTGAGCCTAGATAACTTATTTTATATATATATATGTATACACACGCAGACATTTTCAGGATTTAGAAATGCAAACGTATTCCTCTGTGTTATAAAATGCGATGAGCTACAAATTGGCAATGAAAAATATGTTTTTTCCAACTTCCAGAAAAACTGCAATAACTCACAAATTTCACTGAGATACAGAACACCGAGCTTTTTTCAAAAGCACTTAAACACAGCGGATATTAAAGCAATAACACATGCTGAGACACACCACCACATATTGTTTCAGGAGGTGTGTGGGCGTATCTCAAAAACCCTCAGGCACACCCAAGCTGATCCATGCTGGTCAGGACAAGCATTTAGCGATTTAAAAACTGAAAATGATCGAATCTGTGACGCTTAGGGCAAAAAGAATCTGAATATAAAACACTAGTGTTTGGGCAGTGTTTGAATACAGATTTGTTAGAACCTAAAGTTAATCACAAACACCTATTTGTAGCCGTTAAGAGAAATGTTGGTTTTTTTAGTATGGTGATCAAATGCGGTACAACAGGCCTATCTGGAACATTAGAGCTGTTATATGTTTTGTAACCAAAAGTAATGCATGTTTGGGCCAACCCTTTTTTTGGGTTGTAACATAATGAGCACTGCAAACATGATAAATGAGTCAAAATGGCCTCACCACAGTAAGGTTATTATTCATGGGCTGAAAGGTGCAGCAGAGCAGCTCGCTGGATTCTGGATCTCTGACTTCCCGGATGCACCGGCCATCCTCAGTGTTCCAGATCCGCAGAGTTCCATCTAGTGACGTGGACACGATGATGTCGTTGCTCAGAGACCAGGCGAAATCCGTAACGGGACCCCCGTGCCCTTTCAGGGTCACCTTTACACTGGGAGGAGGCGGGGACAGCGTCATGATGGACAGAGTCCCGTCCAGTGAGCAGCAAGCAAGGAGGTGCTTGTCATCGTTGGCAAACTGCAGCCGTGGAACTCCAAAAACATAAGGGAAGGAAGACTGAACTAAATTTATGTTCAATTCTGCGATGTATGCAAGTGGATTCATTGCATCTTTAAAAAAGAAATGATTTAGTACCAGCAGAATCAACGTGTTGGTCAAATATGTGGTGCATGCCAGCAAATGCATAATTTTCACTCAAGGTTGTGTCCCCTGCCATGGCACGGCTGGCCTCTGCCACTGAGGTGGGCACCAGACTGCCTGGAGGCCTGTGGTCAGAAATAAAAAACCGCTGCATGAGCACAAAATCAATATCTCACAACCCTGTACTACAGCTGACAACTCAATATAAGAGATTTGATCATTACTAAGTGCATCCACACCAGTATTACAGTCGGTAAATCTTGCATAGAGCTGCATCCATTGGAGGAATGAATAAAAAAATAATTCAGATGCTCATGGTAATAAAGAAAGAGCGGAATGTAGAGAGAGATGACCTCTGCTCGGGTCTCTGTTTTGCCTACCTCTCATCGTAGACGGCTCTGTTCATCTGGGCCTGTAGCTGGTAGGAGCCTCTGCTGACAGACCGACGGTGACCGCGGGCCCCTTGGGCACGAGGGTCCTCCTCAAAATCCTACCAAGAAGGAAGAGGAGCCACAGGAAAGAAAAAAACCTCAAAGATGTGAGTAAAGTTGAAGAGAAAATTGGCCACATAATGCATTTTCAAAGAACCACTCACACATACTGAAAAATGATTGGAATCGTCATGCATCTCAAGCGGATGATACAGCCCATACATGAGGGCAATGCCAGCCATTTCAACCAAGCTGCTCAGCTTAATGTGAACGGCAACCAAAATGTTGCTTGGCACTTCTTATCTATCAATTTCTTTAATTCCATATTTAAAAATCTCCAAATCCGTAAAGACATATCTGCCCTTTTTTTCCTGGTCTTTCTGTTTCTTTGAGTCTGACCTCCATGCGGTCCAGTGTGGTGCGGGAGCTGCGCACACTGCTGGCCCTGAAGCTGCTCTGCTCAGACAGGGGCCCATAGCGCAGGGCCAACAGCTGGCTGCGCAGCCTCAGGTACTGCCTGCGCAGCCCGGGCTCAAAGCCACATTTGGCGTTCTCTCTGAGCAGCTGGCTGCGTCGGCGGATGTACTGAGTTCGGAACTGTGGGAAGGTAGGCGTGCGGTAAGCATTGTACCTGGAGAGGGAGAAGAAGCAAGAAAACACGCTGTAACTCAAAAAAGGCCCTTACGCAACGGGAAGTCTGAAGAGCTTCCTCATCAGTTTTGACTCTTACAGCCAGCTGCATGGCTGGGTCTCACCTTGCGTCCACTGCCAAAACCTGCTGCCAAACTGCTGCCATCACACAAGCACTATGGGTAAAGAGGAAGCCACTGCCAGGGCAGAGTCCTGTCAAAACCAATAGCATCCACGAGAGATTTAAGCAAACAAATGATCCCCTTATTAGCTATCCGAGTACACGGCTGAGCAAATGGATGTCACACGGATATAATGTGAACTATCTCCACACCCTCAGCTTTGAATCAGGTGATGATGCAAAATCCACTGCATCACAGAGCGCTCTTACAAAGCCATGTTTAGAGATGTACGTGTCCTGTCATACCATAATACTAAATTTGAACCGAAGTAGTTCAAATAAATAAAAGACTGAATGGCTTGGGTTTTTCCCCCAATGAATGCATATCACCCATCTTGACAGCCAAATAGCTAATTAGCTTTAGCTAGCAAGTTAGCCGGAGCATTTTTTATGTTAAACGCGTTCTTATTAATTGTTCAAGATAAACTGTTAGTGTAACATTTGGCAGCTTTGTGCACCCGTATAAATCATACTCTTTGGCAAAGCAACGAAAAACATAGAGGAATACACTGAAAACGACTCACCTTCTTTAGCTTTTCTCCATCGCTGCGCTTCCTGTTAGGTCACATGACCTGCGTGACCAATCCATTCGCTGCCTGCCTGTTCGCTGAGGGGTCGCGTGAATACAGGAGGTGAAATGAGTTTTCAGCCGACATTTAATGTCCACCATGAATATCCAGCCGCTGTTAGCATAGCTTTCATATTACTTGGTTGTCCGGTTCTTTTTTATATTAAAGATGATATTTGACAAATGAGCAGGGTTTGGTCAGATAGTTTGATTAGTCTGTGGCAATAAAAACAGCCATGGTAATGCTTGTTAGAAGAAATTTGATTTAATTACAAAATATTCCTATTCTAAGAAATTTTTTAAGATTACTTAGTGTCAAGGGGTAGAAAGATTATAAATGGACACAGTCACTAACACCATGTTTCCTGTCTTAACATTGCTGATCAAAAGAAAGGACATGTTTCATATTGCACAGTTATTCTCTAGCATAAATAACCGCAGAAAGTCCTTAGATAGACTATGTGTCTATGGGTTTGAAGGATGTTTCTTTTGTGTCAATTTTCCATGTTCTCACCAAAGTCACAAGGAGGAATTTAATTGCATAAAGGTTATGTATTTGCGATTATTTATGTTTGATTTAAGATGTGAATTAAAAGGCGCTAGACATCCATTATCTATACATAATAAAAGGGAAGGACGTAAAGGAGGAAAAGGGAGGTGAGACTACGGCAAAACTGAGCATCCGAGAGGAAAGACTTATCTCAAATGAACAATCATTTGACCTGATGGATCAAAATCACACATATATGTCCAAGTGTTATCATTTTGTTTTTAATATAATTGATTAAAGAAATAATCCTGATTGTGGGCAGTGAGGTTTAACAATATAAGATATCTTGAAGAACCACATGGGTCATTTCAAGCTTGTTCTTTTATCAGAAATATTAACTTGTCCACACATCAGAACATCCCCAAATCCCCCCAAAGTGCTGGTGGCCCATCTAATTTAATCAGTGCAACTCTAATTTGTCATTTTAACTAAAAGGGATTTCCCCTTTTTACAGATCAGTTTGACGTTCCATGAAGGTTTTTGGGTAAACATAAATGAAATAACAAGAAATGAATACAAAAAATAAAAAACACATCTCTCCTGTACTGTAATGCAAATGTTTTCTTGTCGTGTACAATGAGCCAACAGTTCCAGTGAGTTCACAATGGCAGTATTACAAGGTCAGCTCCGAGGTTTCGCCTGGCTCAGCAGAGACCTGCCGAGCTGTGGGGCATTCTGCTCAGCTGACTGGGCTCTTTGCTTGTTCAGGGTGCTCTTTCTCGAAGGGGCCCCAGTGCCAGCACCATTCACACGCACGGGCCATAAATGACCGGGCGGAGCAGCAAATTAAGCACTGCATTCTCAAAGAAAGGAGCACTGACTCTGGAGCACAGCCAAAATGCCGGGAACGAAAGGTAAGTAACCAATAAAACTATAACACAATAAAACTACTAAATAGATTGGTATGGCTCATCTTGGTTGGAAGCTGCCAGTTGGTTTTAAAAAAATTGATGAGCAATGACAAGACAAAGGTGGCCTCAAGGTGACCCAAACATTTGACCTACATGTGATTTTTCCACCCCTCCCAGGTAACAAATCGGACAAGAAGTCAGCTACCAAGGTAGGTAGATTGTTAATGTACCAGTTCTACTTTTAATCTCTCAGTGAGTTTCTAAGTGATTTTTAATTCTGCTGTAATTCCACAGCAACCTCAGAGTCCTAAAGAACAGCCGAAGAAAGCTGATCAGAAAGGAGATGATGGCAAGAAGCAAGGAGGTAAGCATTTACATGAGCTGAAAACACCCTCAAGCGGTCCCCCAGCATCTGGCCCACAGCGTGGAAACGAGGGGCTGCGGTCGGTGTGTCTCTAGTGAAGGTATCTGCCTGTGTTGTGTCCCCTCACAGGACAGCCGAAGGGAGAGAAGCAATAACTTCCAGGCGTTCGTGAAGATGGCTTTGGAGACACTGCTGGGGTCCTGCCGTCATAAACACGGGGGTCCTCGGGGGAGACAGGGCTGAGCGTCCCCACGCTCCGCTTTTCCTCCAGAGCCCACGGACCGCGTGGCCCCCCTGATATAACATCTGCTCACCTCTCACCGAGGCGGAGAGCAAACCTGATCTGCATCCATCACCATCTGTTGTCACCCTCTGTTTTTCTCTACCCTTTTCCATCTAGCACATATTGCCCACTCTGGCCATCTAGGGGCTGAGAAAAAGGATCCAAGCTAGTTCTGGCTACGCCTAGCAACAGCTCAACCTTTTTCCAATCCCTCTCAAATCCACCCTCACCTTCTTTCCGACCATTTTTTGTAAATAATGCTACAAATAAAATACTATTTGACTATTTGATTGTGAGCATGTCTGACTTCAGTTTCTAGCCCTAACATTCTAATGTTCCACTCCCACTCAGAATGATGCGCAGACATCTGAAATAATGGCACATTTCAAGGTTTCATGTAAAATTTTATAATAAAAAAAATAATATCACAGGTGTATTTGTGTGTTCACATTTACAGGGACAAAATCAAGGGCAGACATCTGAAAAATATTCACAATAATCTGATTGAGTGGCCTGGCACCACGTGGTGGACACATAAACCAACACTCTATTTGAAGGAAATCATATTTCTATGTTTTGCTTTTAAGAATGTGATCACAGCCCAACATTTTTTCCTCATCATCAAATAATCACATAATTTTTTTAAAGCAGCTGTCGTAAAAAATCTATAGTTGAGAGAAGTTGTTAACATAGCATGTGGTATTTATTTTTAAAGCTGTTTTACAAAACTGAATGAGGAAGTTTTAGCATTTTTTCAAATTATTACATTGTCAAATACCCTGATTCTAACTTTACTTTTCAGTATCATAAGTGTTTTGAATATAAAATATTTCACAGGAAGAAAACACAAAACAAAATTCATACACCATTGGGATACTTCACTACAAAATTCAACCAATAAATAAATGATCAATTTCCATCATCATCTAAAACTGACTAAAGGGGAAATAATAACTGGCGACAATAAAATTGCGGCTTCCTGACCGCAAATTGTGCTCTTCTTATTGAAAAAAAGAAAAATTCTCTGCTACCTTCCACGTGCCAAAGAGACAAGCTCTGTGAATGGAGATGTGGGAATTTTTACTCATTTCTGACAGACGTTGAATTCAATTAGGTCAAACGTTTAAAAAAATCATGACATATATCTTTTAAGAGGAACCTTATAAGGAAAAAAATAAATGTAATAAAAACTCTAGCCACATAAAGAAGCTGGCTGTTTCAGGAGGTCTCTTGGTCTTTTCTAGAAAAGCATAGCATACTGAACAATGCTGAGGGCAAACTCTAACAAATACAAAGTAAAAGGGGTCGTCAAATTCCGCTGTAGTGTTCCACAAACATCCTCTCAGATTAAGAAAATGTTCAAAAGAGAAGAGTCTCACAGACAAGCTTTGGAAATAAGACACGTAAATGAGCGACAAACAATGACATTACAGATTTTTTTTGCCATAGAATTGGATTCGCTGGCATTAAGATGACAACGAATGTCGACGGTATTATCTTCCAGGCCTTGAAATATGACTGTAAGACGGTTAAGATGCAGGGATAGCTCATCTGGAGGACATTTTCCTCTATCGTGTGTCTGCAGAAAGGAGCAGGCAATCTCCGCTGTGCTGACATCTATTGATTGTGACTCACAGTGAGACGACGGTAACTGCTGCCACGACAGGAGGGCTTGACAACTGTGGCTCAGATAAAAAAAAAAAAAGAAAAAAGGATGTGATAAGGGGAAAAGAAGGGCGACGCAGGCTTTCTTTTCACAGATATTAAAACTAGTCCTCAGCGGGTTGGAATCACGCAGTGCCCAGCGACCCGGACATGGCGCGGTGGCTTATTGTTGTGTGCAGCTTGACTCTGCTCTTGTGGCCAAATGCGGGTTAAAGTCACAGTGCAGAAGGTGGAAAACCTGCTTCACACCTCCCGTTATTGCCTTGTTCTTCTTGGTCTTTTGTTATTAGAGGATGAGGCGGTATAATATCCAGCACCCAAACGTGACCCAGTGGCTCGTCCAGCTCAGCTCTGACCACTTCTGAATGGTATGATGGGTAATATCGTCCTGCAGGAGACAGCATGTGACATCTTTTTACCTCTCTGAACAGATGTACATGTAACAGCATTCATCGAACACCTATAAATACTCGAGCAAAGATATTGCTGTAGGGCACAACCATATTAATGTGTCACACTAAGCTCGTCGCCTTTTATGTAGGGTTGCGTAAATATAACCACCAGTGTTTAAAGATCAGCATGACTCAGTGCGTCAGATTCTCTTTTCGCCTACTTATAACTGTTTCCTCCTTCTCAGACATTGTGTGAGGAGCCATGTAGCCCAATTTTACCTCCTCCTCCTCCATGTAGTCCACGCTGGAGTTGAAAACAGAGCCCAGATATGTCAGGTGAAGTATTGCCAAAGCGCTGAACGCTACATTAATCATGTGCACCCACAGCGTCTGCAAACAGACACAGCATTACGTTAGATAGGTCAGACTCTGGTCCAGTTCCAGCAAAACTGGTAAGCTTCAAGGATTTGACTCATAATGAACAACACCGCCGTCCACCAAACCTTATGAATGTGATGAAATCCGCTATGAAACGAGAAATGCTTAAAAATCTAAAACGAACAATTAAGAATCATTCATCAAGCAGAAAGCTTCTTCTTTGGAAAAATGTGTATTTGTGCTCCCGGCTGCACTGGTGAGTTAAAAGAGAGTACCGGATGGCATAACTAGACTGTGGAGTGGGAGACACAGTTTGGTTCTGGTTTTGAACACATTTGATATTCCGTCAGAGCTGTGCTTTCGCTTGTTGTTTTCCCCGTGCTTTCCACCCGACAAATGACTTGATATGCTATCAAAAATTAGGTGATCAGCCTGAGAAAACCCCAATGTTTTCAGTTAAACTGAACAAATTAAAACAGAATTTTTTCTGCACACTCCTGCACCATCAGGAGGGAGGTTGTTCATTCAAGTTTATAAAATGTTACAAAGAAAATAAGAGAACCTGCATTCTTCTATGTACTCTCTGTCAGTGACTTGCTTTTGATTTAAAAAAAAGTTTGAAATCATTTCACCTTTCCTCACTGGTGAACAAATCCCTTAACAGTATCTGAGTTCTGGAAAGTCTGTTGGTAATTATCAGTGCATGGAATGGAAACGGACGACAGAGGTGATTATTACCTTTTTGTTTCGGTGACTGCAGTTTGGCTGACATTTTTTCGACAGCAAACACGCATCGAAAACGGCCGCAAGCCTCTTTCTCAACACTGAAACGGAGAGCAAAGCTGAGGCATAATGAGGAACCCAGTGGAAGAGCTCCACTGAAACCATTAAAAGTGGAAAATTACAACTGCTGCAGTGAACTGAATGTGCGTTTCATGGGAGGTACATATTAACCATTACTGCAGAGCTCAGCACTTTTTTCCAAATTAAAAGGTTCTAATGTGGAAACAAGGAAAACCTTAGGGAGATTCTTACCGTGCTCAATGTATGTAATGAACCCTAGAGATATCAGCACTGCACCCAGATGAAAACTCAAGCCCTGTGATTCACAGGAAGTAGTATTAGAACAGAGCCCGCATGCAATCGAAGCCAGATGAAGAAAAAAATCAACAAAAACATGAGGCCTCACGTGCAGGAGGGCGCTGGCCGTGTAGGTCACCATGACGGCAGAGAACGTCCCGAGTCGGAGCGCGCTCTTAAAGACATCTGCCAAGACCAGACCATCAGCTTGCATGAGAACGGCTGTCTGCTTTTAAAGGAAACCTTCATGAAGTGGCTGCCGCCATCACTGCTAGCGTCAGAACTCACAGGTGTGCAGAAAGCCAGACATGGGCAGGTTCCACGAGGTCACCACCTCCACCATCGAGCGGGGAAACTCTATACTGAGCGGCTTGGAGACGCTCATGTCCCTGCAAGGCGAGGCAAAAAAAAAACAAGCAGAACGGGGCATGCTGTTAGTGACGTGCGGAGAAGAAGGGATTCGGCGTAAAGACGCACGTGCACCGCTGACCATTTCAGGTTCTCCTTCTCCTCCGTGAAGCCCGCCCCGGCTAGGGTGGCAGTGGTTTCGCTCAGGTAGCCCACAAAATAGTTGCTGAAGTGGAAAGACATGGTGTTCTCGTACGCCAGCAGCCACCTAACGCAAAAACAGCAGAGCAGACGGTTTTTACTATCCAGTTTCCCATAAAACATTCTTTTTTTTACCTTGTTAAGAAAGTACGAGAGAAGAAAAAAGTACATACTTTGCTGTTGCACCTCTGAGAAGCGACAGGGTAAACAGAGCTCCGTTAGTCACGTGCCACATTACCCCCTAACTCTTTATTGACTTGCTTTGTTGCGATTAACGTCTCACCAAGGGTTTTCAAGGTGGTGAAATGGTAAATGAGAAGGGGGAGGAAAGGTGTCCGGCACGCTGCACAGAGATGGGGAATGATGTGGGCACGTGCGTGCAGGTAAAGCTTTTTACACAAACGGTAATACAGAGAAGAAGTGGGCAGACACCGGGCGCAGACAAGGCTGATATCCGCAAATGTATGGCATGTTCACAGTTACCTAGGCAGGGTGTTACTTACCTCACCTTCCTCCTTTTCTTGCTGCAAAACAAAGCAGACGGCAGAAGCATTACCTCACAGAGGATTCATGAGGACAACCATCGGCTTGGATATGTTTCTATTTCCGCTCACCTCCTTAACAGTTTGTCTCCGAAAACAGGTATGAAATAAGGGAAGAGGTAGGGTGCCACACAGTTGGAAATAACAAGGCAGAACTGGCTCTTCACCCAGCTAACAGACACTTTTAAAAACCATCCTAGACTCTGGGGAGAAAAATAAAAGGACTGCACAGTAAGCAGCTCTTCTCAAGATGAAGATTTCAAATAATCCTCGCCTCGTCTTTCCTCTGAACTTATGAGGTACGGGCGTCACACCTACCAGCTTGCGTCCTTCCAAGGCTTCCATGTAGCTGTTGAAGCTGATCCAGGGCCCGAAGATGACTGTGCCCACAAAGTAAATGTAGCCCATGAACTCAATGGGCGAGGGGACACTGGCCACGACCCCTCTGTCCAAATCGAACGCCAGAGAGATGGCTTTCATGGCTACCACCATCTGTGAACCTGTTACAAAGAAAACATCAGGACCACCAAGAACAACTCTTAATCCAGATATTAATGGACAAACATAAGTAGTAACATTTGTCAGGGTGGAACTTGTGGCCGACCTCTCATCTTGTGCCAGTTGGTGGTATCCATCATGTGCAGCTCTCTAATCAAATCAAAGAGGAACACAGATGTCAGGGCAAAGATAAACCGCTGCAGAACCCAATTCCAATGCACACGGGGCGCTGCACAGGAGGCTCCCTTACCCCAGAAGAAGGTAGATGAGCACAGTGATGGAGAGGAAGGTGCCCCGGATGGTGGAATGGCGGCACAGGAAGAGGAAGAGGTAGCAGAGGAGGCTGAGAAGGACCACCCAGATCATGTGGAGCTCAAAGAACAGGTAGAGGGTGTAGAAGCCTCCGGCCACTGTGCCCAGGTGTTTCACAAAGGAAGGGAGACCTGACGGAGAAGGAGATTTTTTTTATTTTTTTATGTATAGAGTGGATAGAGTAGAGTTTAAAAAGAGTAAAGCAAACCCTCACCCAACATCCAGAGCAGCCGGCACAGCAGGCAGATGACCAGCAGCTGCCATACCTGCTCCAGGCCCTGCTGAGCGGTGGGCAGCAGGCAGCCGTGAGCCAGCTCCTGGAAGAACTTCTGTCGGCTGAACACCCCCATCGCTGCAGGAGGAAGACAAACACGGCCTGTTTAAAGTCGCAGAAATGCCATTTTAGCTCCCTGCTGGAAGCACCCAACCTTGCCTCATGTTCTGCATTTACACACAAATGCAGGAAAAACATGCATTTTCTAAACTTTAAGTGGAAGCAAGTGACCAATCGGCACAAATCTGGCATAAAAGCTTCCATCTGACTCTTGGTCCTGTTCTAATACTGGATCAATAACGGCATCAATCTAAGTCTGAGTCTAAAATATAAGGGGACGTGAGACACCATTAAAGCCACATCTCAGTCACGCCGCATTATGTCACGTGACCAGCGGTAGTGTTTTGAAAGAAGGGCATCAGTTGCTTTTCTTTAAAGGCATTCTCTCTCCGCAATGCAGTCCACCACCACAGAGGGGTGAGCTGGCGTCCAGCTGCTGCCTCCGACCGCTGCACGCACAGCTGTGCACGCGGCTGTGGGGGGGGGGGGGGGGGGGGGGGGGGGGGGGGGGGGCTCGCTGCGGAAGGGAAATGGGCCTTAAACGTGCGCGTGGAAGCTGCCAGGCTTTTTCCGAACCGTGCAGGAACCCCATTCCACCATCCCACGCCAGACCCCCGGGCATGTCGGTTTGTTTGCAGGAGGAAAACTTACCCTCTCCACGTTCCACGTTCCACCTTTGGTTTTGTTTTTTTTATCCGGCTTCAGCCCCGTTACTTTGCAGTCCCTTAATTGTCTGAGTTTCCGCCTAAGTTGACTCGCTGCAGATGATGCATATCTGGATGACTCCCATTGTCACAGCATCAGCACCACTAGCCCTTCGTCCGCCAGAGCACGTGACGACGTACTGGCCAATCTGACGCTCAGGCCCGGAGAAGTCGACCAATCGTGGCTTTTCGCTGCCGTGACATGACAGTTGGAATGTCCAATAGGAGCCGCCCCCCCCCCCCCCCCCCCCAGCCGGCGCATCCGGACCAATGGGACGTGTACAGCGTGCAGATGGACTCCAGAGACTCTGTTTGAGAGGTTACAGGGAAAGTCCTCTGACTCTAAATAACAAAATGAAGACATCCCGGCGTTCTATGATGAAATACTTAGCAATTCTTTTTATCATTATTATATTTTGTTGTTTAGTATTGGAGACTCAGACGATAGAGACACGGGGGCGTTTTAACTGATAACCAAACATAATAGTCGCTTTGTCTGGTTGAAAAGCCTAAATCCAAGACACATCGGGGGAGTTTTAATAGTTTTCCCAAAGTTAGACAAAAACACACAACTGACTGTTTTGTATGTAGTCTGGATGTGTCTAACATGGTTATCTAGACTTCCGGTTTTAAAATGTATGGTGTCATGGCCACTCAGTGGTTAACCAAAATTGAGCAAAAAGATGGAGTGAGGTCAGTACTTTCATCCTAGGCTTTCCCTGACAGACGAGACTTTAGCATATTGTTGTCACCGAGGCTCTGCACAAATCTTCTAAAGTTACAAATAATTGTCCTTAATAATATTCCTTTAATCCAGCATGCTTGAATTTCAGCTCTTGTGGAATGGAAAGTCTTATTTATGATAAAAAAGGCTAAATTTCTTCAATCACTTTCATTTTAACAGAACATATACTTAAATAGACTTAATATCAATACTAAAAGACTCAATATCAATAACCAATAATCATGGAGGGCATCATTTTCCACTGGATGTGGAGTGGCAAAGTGGTTAGGTTAAAGCACCGAGCCTTACCTGGATCTGTGTCCTTCGCCTCCTCCAGGGCCAACACAACTTTTCCGGTCTACAGTTTCCAATGATGATACATTATTAATAAATTCACTTGGGCCAAGATGCTGAGGGGGCAAAATATGATAATTACAAAGATTAATCTTATTATGCAAACCAAATGTTTATTTATGGAAAACGGTAACAGTTTAAATAAATTGCTTGCTCATTTATTCAACAAGGCAACACAACTGTTCCTTTGGTGCATAATTCTGTTCTTCACTGTTTGAAGAGACAGAACCTTTTGAGTCAAAGGTATTTTTTTCAATCATGACTGATTTAGTGATCAAACACAACTAAGACTGTGATTCTATTGTCTTAATCAAGACCTGAAACTTAAGTGGCCCAAAAAATCTAATTGGCTTTAACTTCTTTTTTTTATTGCACAATAGATAACAGAGATAGAGTCAACACAGCAACAGTGCTGGAAAATAAATGCAGACGTGGAGCCGAAACTCTCAGAAACTGAGTATGGGCATATTAAGTTTATGAAACCCTGTTTGGTTTTAAAGTGGTACGCTGTGAATAAATGATAAATAAGAAATGATCGATACAATATTGATAACATAAATATTTAGCTAAAACAAACCTTTGCTGGACATTACAAAGCTCCTCTTCTTACTAGAAGTGACATTGCTGTGGGATAGTCTTTTTTTTTAGTGTTTAAAAAGGCAAAACATATTAAAGGTTAAGACCAGCATGTTGGGAATGCACTGTGGGCTTTTGCTTTTTCTCATTGTGCAGGAGCATGTGTCATCTTGAAAAACAAGCTGACAAGTTAAATGCTGTATGACGCTCTGATGAGAGAAGCATGCAGACGTTTTGGGGTCAGAATAACAGTCCACCTCATTCCAGGTATTTTCGGGCCATAAAGTCATACACATTTATTTCTTATCTTTAAATATAGGCATTTAATAACTCTTACTGAAAAAGTCAAATTATATATACCTATACTCATATAGATGTATATATACATATACTCATATAGATAGATAGATAGATAGATAGATAGATAGATAGATAGATAGATAGATAGATAGATAGATAGATAGATAGATAGATAGATAGATATGGATGTATAATTAAACTCACTTATTTTCAAAGGTGTTTTCAGGTTTAATAAAACTGACATCTGCCAAAGTGCAACAACTCCAACCGGCTTAAAAATTGTGACAAAGCTGCTATTGGATAAAACCAGGATAAGAGTTGATGAGCATTCTGCATCAAAGACAACACACACACTAACGTTAGAACAGTGAAATGTGACATTAAATACAATACTTCAACATGTATTGCTTTTGAACTACTTGGGAAGCCGCGTTTGTGTTGAGTGTTTCCTACTGCGGTCCGATTCAGTGAAAATCTAACCAGACAAGAAGATCCGTTTCCTGTTATCTGAGGTAGGTGGGTGAGAATAAATCACTGACCACTCACCAAATAAAGCTGTCCGCTTATGGTTGCATTTAGGAACAAAGCCAGAACGGAAAGTGGTAAAGTTTTACAATCCAAGTCGGTTTAACCAAACAAGCATCAGAGACATTAGGGACCAAAACAGTCGTGTGAAGAGAGAGCTGAATCACAGCACAACTTCCAGGTCGTAGGCTATTTTCTCCTTTTTGGGCGGCTTAACGGCTTGCCGCCTAGAAGAAGGCTCGGCCGAATCGTCCGGCTTCTTCCTCGCACCTTTCTGAGACTTTCTCAAAATGTATTTATAATTTCTTTGAACTTCGAGGAATGCCGAGGTGAGGTACTCGGGCGAGAACATCTTCAGGGAGGGCGGGAGACTGGGGGGTGGGGGGGGCGGAGGCTTTGCGGGTGAAACGGGTGGAGACGAGTCTTCTGGTTCGGCGGTCAGCAGGAGGATCGGTGTGGTCGGACGGGGCACGGCGGAGGGTTTCGCCGACTCAGAGGGAGAGACGATGCTCTGAGAGGGCGGGGGGGGGGGCTTGGGGAAAAACACAGGAATGAGAATTAAAGGTGCTGGACGGAGGACGGGTGGGCTCGGAGCGCTCTCAACCTTTACGGGCTGGATGTTCGGGGCCAGGCAGTCCGGGGCCCGCTTTCCCGGGCAGGGGGCGTCTCGCTCCGGCCCTTCGGCCGGGGAGTAGTCCTCGTCGGACTCGGTCTTGCACTCGGCCTTGGGCTGGACGGCCACGCGGCCGTGGCGGCGGCAGAACAGGACGCCGCACTTGGGGCACTTCCGTCCGTCCCTGACGTGCAGCAGCTTGTGGCGCTTCAGGTTCTGAGCCGAGGCGAAGACGCGGTCGCACAGGTTGCACGGAAAGGACGGCTCGGGCTGGCCCCCGGGGGCGGGGGGGGCCGCGGCCGGGTCGGCCCAAACGGAAACGGAGTCCGTTTGCTCGTCGGCCCCTCCAGAGACGGACTCCATTTGCTCGTGGGCTGGGTCGGCCCCCCCGGAGACGGAGTCCGTTTGCTCGTGGGCTGGGTTGGCCCCTCCAGAGTCTTTTTGCTTGTGGGCCGGGTCGGAGTCCGTTTGCTGGTGGGCCGGGTCGGCCCCTCCAGAGACGGAGTCCGTTTGCTCGTGGGCCCCTCCAGAGACGGAGTCCATTTGCTCGTGGGCCGGGTCGGAGTCCGTTTGCTCGTGGGCCGGGTCGCCCCCCCCGGAGACGGAGTCCGTTTGCTCGTCGTGCAGCTTCTTGTGGGTCAGCAGCTGCGAGGCGTGGGCAAAGGTCCGGCCGCACAGCTCGCACAGGTAGCCTCCTGCTGGTAGCAGTAGGGGCTTTAGGAGCACCACGGGCCTCCTTTTGTCCAGTTCGGGGATGCCTGCCGGTGCCGTCGGGGACGGGGACGCTACATCTGGGATGGATTTAGCTGGCGACTGGACTGGATCTCTTTTATCTTTGATCTCAACCTCCCAAGATGGCATTTTTCTTTTCAAGATGACGCAAGGAGAGAGAAGATTTGGCTTCTTCAACGCCTGTGAGGAGAGACCAACATCAACTCTTAACAAACAGGTCGTTTCAGCTTACTTAGGCAGTGAACATTTCATGAGAAATAACAAACTCCTGGCGCTACCTTTGACAGTGATGTGGTTGACGGAGAGTGCACTGAAACTTTACTTTCGGCCTCAATCAAATCAGAGAATTGGGGGCCTGTGGGCGAGTCAGCTCTCGGTGGAGGTTTCTGCTCCTCTGTCGCGGCATTGGCTGTAGGTCTGTGCCTTTTTCTACGGCTGGAAAACCTTTGAAAAAACAAAACAAACACAAAACAAAACAAGAGGAAATGTGAAAACTGGCCTTGATTGCCCACCTTTGAGTTTAAGCCCGTATAGAGGTCAAATGAGCTGATGCTTGGCCTTTTTTCCCCACTGTGTCTTTCTTATTTGTCCCCTTGAAATGAAACACTTGTAAACCAGTGGATCCGGATTACGAAAGTGGGTCAGAGGACCGCAAGTGGTTACAGCCATTAACTAAGAATGGATCTAATTTCACCATTCTCTGAGCTGGCTTTGAATATAAAGTCACTTTCCACATTTCTTTCTCCAGCAGAACAGAATCTAAGTTCGTCTGTCCTGACAAGGGAACAGTTGGAGACAGCCATCCACTAGTTATATTCCTAATATGCCTTTCCTCATTGATGGATAGAACTTTATGCAGATTTGTAGACAATAACTGGGAGAAATAAATCAAAGATTTTAAGGAAAATACATGCAAGTTAAAACCTTTCTTTCCAGAATCTGCTGGTTACAGAGCTGTTTAAAGACAAAACTAAAATTTGCAAATATTCTTCTGCCCCTTGTTTTTCTTACAAAAACATGCTGATAACAAATCGGTCAGAATAAAGAAATACTATTTCCATTGGCGATCCCTGTATTTTTCTTGCTCTCGTGAAATAAAACAGATCCTCGGGTAATAATTCAGGGGTCATCAAGGTCTCATAACATTTGTTTAGATAGTGTTGCTCACAAACTGTTAATAATTATAAACTACCCAACATTTTACCAAGCAAGGCAGATAAATGGTTCACAATCCTTACTGTTTCTTTCTTCTGCTGGGACTAGTGCATCTTTTAGTGTGTGTAAACACAGAGGGCACATAGTCAGGCTTGTTCCGATCCATGGATGCCTTTCCTGTAAAACACAAACACAAAGCTTTTAGGAAGTTTCTACACAACTGTCATTTATTTTATGTACTCTGACCGGGGGTGGGCCGGTTGTTACAGCCCTTCGCAGCGTACCTGAGATGAAATGAGCGTTACAAATACGAGAATTTCTATCGAGCACCATGCTGCCGTTCGCCTGTTGGATCGCTTGTTTCCACAAATGCCTCCGTTCGCGCTGAAAATGTCGTTGCCCTGACGGTATTTTGTAGAATATCACTCCACTGATTGGAGAACAATCACTTTTACAGTCTAAAATACAACAGTTTACCATTTTGTTAAAAATAATTTGAATCGACTAAGAAGTTAGAGGGAGAAAGAAAACATAACTTCCGCCGCCGAGATGCGCGCGCATGCGTACTGCCTACGTCACAGTTCGTGTTTATGTGTTTTGATTTTTTGCTTGATTTGATTTTTATTTTTATCATCGTCAATATATCCTATATTTCTATTTTTAATATTTTCAGTAGGCAATCTACAGTGTTTGTGTTACTATATCGGTTATTGTACCGTATGTAGAGTTAACTGCGGTTGTAGGTTTGTTTTAACCTTTAGGATATAAAAACACAACGGTAAGCCAACAGCAACCCATTTGTTTTTACTTTTGAACCAGACATGTGACATAAAAAAATAAATACTAATACTAATCAGGAGAGTTTTCTTGCTTGTGTGACTCTGTACCTGACAGTGTCACAGGGCCTGTACGGTTCACTGAGGACCCCTAGTGGCCAGTATCAAAACGACACTGAAATTGGGGTTCAAACTTTAATGAAGAAAAAAAAAGTTCCTGTCCGTCCGAATTTAGAATTCTATGATTCAGCGGTAATGCAATATGCACATCCTTGAATTCTTTGCATATACATAGAATGATTACACATTTCTTCATTACACACAAAAAAGAGCAGCTTCAATCAAACTGTGGAGATAGTCTCAGTATTGAAGGTCCACTGGATATCTTGGAATGAATATGTGCTCATTTGGGAATTTAAAAAACGAAATGAGCATGTACATACACTGTTCGCTGCACGATTTCTCTTTTTAGTAGTGGCATGTAAAAAATGTCTCCTCAAACCACAATCACCATACATTACTCTTAACCTGGTGATGATTTGTCTGACATTAACTTCTGAATTATTTTCACTTGTTACCAAATGGAGGAAGTTAAACCATGTGATCCAATCCCATTGATATCAGTAAGGCCACACTAAGTAGTTGAGCTGAATATTTGAAAATCCTTGACAATCTGAGGGGTTAAATTGTGCAGCACCTGTAACCTACAGTGTAGGTTGAAATACATTAGAATACATGGCACTGTTGATTTAATCAGAATAACATCAAAAGCCCTACAACTCTGTCATTACTCCTGTACTCACACACAAATTGATTTTTCTATTGTAAAAATGGACATGTTTTCCACTGGTGAAGAAATTCACTTACTTGTCCATTCATTACCAGCATTAACCCGGAGACTTTCACAATTGGGATGAAGGGTGCAGATGGAAGAACAACACACATGTGTTTTATCTGAAAGTGTGTTGCCTGAGGCTGTTTTTTGGAACATTAAAATAAAAGTGCATCTTCAAGGACATGCATCTTTGTCTGCACTTGAGTGGTAAAGTGTCCTTGGTCTTTTCAACAAATGTTCCATTGACATCTTTTTAAATAATGAGTGCAGCAAGCCGTGTGTGTCTCCCCAAATAAAATCAAGGGCACTTTAAACGTCTTACATTTTAACAAAAGATTTCCTCTGCAGTGCTGACAGACTTTATTCCCACTACTGGGACCATTAAGCAACTGCACGGAAGTGGCAGTAATTAGGGCAGAGGCTCGTACATTGGGAGGTGTACATGTCTTAAGTGCAACTTGCTGTGTGTGTGCTAATATCTTTTCTGTTGTTCTGTGTATATTGTTGTCGTTCTTTGTGCCTCAGTCGGCACCGACTAGTACACTGTGGAGCCTTTTGTATTCAGCATCTTCACTTCTTTTGTTGCCCTGAGGCATACAGCATCGGAATTAACCTTGAGTTTGTTTTTGTAAGCGGGATATTTATTTGTAGAATAAAAACACCATCGCCTCACAGCTAGAGGGTTCTGGGTTCAAGTCCCCGGTGGAACCAGGACCTTTCTGTGTGGAGTTTGCATGTTCTCCCTGTGTCTGCGTGGTAGCTTCTCTCTGGGTTTTCCAGTTTCCTCCCACCATCCAAAAACCTGCATGTTGGGTTGATTGGATATTCACAATTGCCCCGAGGAGTGACTGTGTGTGGTTGTTTGTCTTTGTGTGTCTCTATGTGTGGCCCTGCCATCCCATTGACTACTGGGATAGGCTCCATCTTATGGAAATAAGGGGTTAAAACAACAATAAGCTAATAGTTCAACAATCCAGCTAATGAATGAGTGAATTATCTGGTGGATAACTAATGTGTAGGCGCCAAATAAATGGAACGAGAACTGCGTGCTTTCAACATTGTAATACATTGTGTTCTGACAAGTGTGCAGATGAGTGATATTCTGGAGTAATCAAGTAAGGCAAGTCTGAACTCACACCTGGAGTTAGAAAAAAATAGGTTTTGATTACTACATAGTCGCTATAATCCATTACACCTAATGAAAAGCTTTTTATATGTGTATCTATATAATGCAACATACTATACTGCCACTGAAATGTTGCTGTAACAGTGTAGCTCATCACTTGTCTACTGTTTTTGGATATCAGTGGAGAAAATTAGACGTGAGGCTTTTTTAACACTAATACTTATCATAAATACCTTTTTTGGTGTTGATCCTAATCATATTTATGTAAAATCCTTTCAAATCAAATGATCAGATTCATCCTCAAAGTCAGTAACAATATTCCACCAACAGATGTCACTCTGGTTAAATGCGGGAGATGCTGTAAGCTCACTTCATATCATCTATTTATGCACCTCTTAAATGTCTTGCAACAGATCTAAGATCTCAGTCTTTAGCTGCAATAAGCAGTACATCAAGACATCTTAACGGCTGTTTGGACTTTTTCTAAAGCTTTTTCATGGTCGTGCATAAGGCGGGAGACCAGGGTCTCTCTGGCTTATGCGTTTTGTCACCAGCACACTCTTGAAGACTTCTCCAGATTACTTGGTAATCTTTTGTGGTTTTGTAACAGTCTGTCATTTTGCGCAAACAGTATGTAGAAATACACACTCATTGCTTTACCGAAGTAAATTACTTAGAATATCTACCGCCTCATGACCTGAAAAGACACAAAATTGGCATTTCCACCATGTCCCATCCCTCCCTCCATTCCCTCTTCTGCCTCAAGGTGACTCCTCCATCTGCACCCTCCCTGGTGTTGCCAATCCCTCTCTCTGCAGTAACCGTGGAACAGAAAGTGGAATCTGATTCCACTCTTGTTATTGTGAGCTGTTGCTGTCTCACCTGTTTCATTAAATGTCCTGGAGCTACAAACACATCAATCCGAGCTCGGCTGCATTGTTCCTGATGCGTGTCTGTGCCTGAGAGGGAATAAACACGTGTTATCAAAGCCGGCTATTTCTAGTATCCATGTAAAAAAAAAAGCAATAGATAACACAAACATGGTTTACATATTCTTGCAGCTTGAACATGCCCGCAATCCTTTTATTTCATTCATGTCTGCAGGTCTCTGCTGGTGGTTAAGGCTGCGGGGAGCTGGGTTTACCTCAAAGCACGGGGGCTCAGTTTTAATGGTACCCTCCCTCAGCCCTTCCCACGTTGTTGAAAGTTACCACTAAGGGACAGAATAAGAAGAATTGTACCCGATTATATTAAATAAAAGGTGTGTAAGGAGGGGTGGGGCTGCTGGTGAATGGGGGAACTGTTAAAATGGAAGCAGAGAAAGGAAAATAAAGGAAACAAGCGGACATATACACAAGTGTTCCCCATTTGCTCACAAACTGTTGAAAAATCACGGCCCGTGTTCCAAACACACATTCGACATACATCGGACTTTGGTTTGCACAAGTCTAATAACGCTTATTTATGCTTGCCTCCAGCTTCCCTTACTTATTCATGCCCATCAATTCCCATTTCCATGTTTGACACTGTGCAGTGAGTGATGGGCGTGTTGCTCGCTGGCGGTTCTGACGCCTGCATGCTGACTTTGACAGCCTCCTCTTTTCACCCAGCAGCCCGGGAACCATCGGGCTCAGCTCCACCAGGAGCCGCCGGGGCTGTCGCTCCTGCCATCATTCAGTCGTTCAGGGGTTGAGCCACTACAACGCAATTACACATTCATTTCACCCTCGCAGTCAGCCAACCAGGCGCCCCTCCCCCTCGCTCTTCCCATCTCCTCTTTAGCTCTCGCCCTTTCTTCCCCACCCTTCATTTTCCTCCTCCCCGCACCCCGTCGCCCATCTCTACCTGATGGCTCAAATCTCTCCCTCACACCTTTAACCTCCCCACTACGATTTTTTATCCCTCTTTTTCCCCGCATCAGCAGTGGGTGCCGAGGAATACACAAAAAAGCCAGAAGCAGAGCTGCAAAAAAATAGGGGGCGGCGGGGAGGGGGCCGAAGGAGTAAGGATGAAAAAACAGCACGAAATAGTGTGAAATGTGAGGGGAGAGCAAGGTAAGAGACCAGCAGAAGAGTGGAGAGACTGGCTAATGGTATATTGATTTGGTTGGGCCGGGGGCAAATAAGCAGGAGTGTGTGGGAGGAGAAGAGTCACAGCTTGCAGATGTCTGAAAACACCTGGGTGGGAGAGTTTTTTTTGTTTACTACATTCATGCAGCAACAGGAGAAGCTCTCTTTGTGAATAGCTTTTGGCGTCTCGGCAAGGCCTCGGTGTGTCTGCGTGCAAAACCAAATTTTAGAATTTGCAGCAGCTCTTGCATCCAAAAGAAGAATTTGATGGAAGTTTTGGCTATTATCTCCAGAAATCTTTACGCTCAGCCGTCAGTTAAAGCTCTCAGGCAGACTGGAATCGCGTCAAAGCCTTTGGCTAAGAAAGCAAGCATTTTAGTGAGCGGATGGGCATTTGGGATCACATTAGGTGAGAGACTCGAGGGAGGGAGATTCACTAAGAGGGGGAGATGGGAGGATGGAAGTGGAATTAATTGGATTTTAGGGGTTTTTTTCTCATAATGCATCATGGTCCACAAGGATCTGTGTGAGGGTCCCTGTGGGCAGACAGGTGAAGGATGCTGATTATCAAAATACATTTCTCACTCTTCATTGATTGGGAAAGTTTATGGAAATAAAGCACTCACGACGTGAATAATTTGAAATGTCACAGCCGGCAGCAGGTTCAACCTCCCTAAATCTGAGACGCCGCGTGTTAATTTGTAGAATTCAATTTGCACACACATTGAAAGTGCGTTAATTCGCCACGGCCACTGCGGCAGGGTCGTCCTTCCCGTTCGGCTAATGGGACGCCGGGTCTCTGCCCGTGTTATTACATGGGAATTCATGTGCGCTCCGCTCCCACAGGCTGGAGCAGGGAGCCATCCAGGCGGAGGAGATGAAGACTCTGAAGCCAGACTAATTGGACGACTCTCCGTAAGCCTTCCTCCTCCCCCACGGTACGGTGGTAATCACCTTTGCTTTTGAAAAATTCAAGTCAACGCCCACACCGCCTCTTTGTTAAAGCTCTCTTCTCCCAAATCTCGTCAAACTTCTCCCCCTGCCCTTTCCAGTCTCTCTCTGTTGTCACAGGCCAAATGTGACCTCACCCTCACTCCCCTCTCTCTAGTATCAATATCTCACAATTGCTCCTTCTGCTGATTTCTATCTTTTTTTTTTGTCATTGTAAAAACGCTGCTAGCAGCTCTTTCTGACCCTAATTAAGAAGAACATGATCTCGAGAATTATTTGCCTTAAAATCTTAGTCAGCGCTGCATTCACTGGTGCTCTGAAGATGAGGCAGTGTTAGCCTGTGATGGTCTCTTGTTTCCCCGTCTGCCTGTGATGAAAGGGTAACACATCATGAGAGAATTGGGAATAGAGGGTGTAGAGTTCGGATGAGAGAGGATTTGATGGGCTGACATCAGGGGAGCGCCGGTCTCCATGATTACCAAGAAAAGCCATTAATTTGTTTAAGAGGACTTTCATGCTTTACAAGATTGTCAGCCCCCCTCGCGATTGACAGTTTCAATTCTCCACACTGCTAAAAAGCTCTTAACCCTCTCACTCCGTCGCAATTTCGGAAAAACCTCTTTCGTGTTTTTATAATGACTACAGCTTGCACTTTAGGACCTTTGCTCATAAGTAAATCTTGATTTTCCCAGTATTTCTCATTTTAAAAGAAAGGAAAAAAAGACCTGAGAGCAAAAGAAAAAGGAGGTTTCATCCTGGTTTTTGTGTTTTAAGTCAAATTATATTTTTTGAACATTGTGCCCTACCATTCAGTAGAGGACACTTTTCACTTATTATAGTGTACCTACCTAAAAAGCTCTCAAATTAATTTTAACTATGTGATGCCTAAATTATATTTTTTCTTTCTCATATGAAGATTCATTTGTAAAATGTCACAATTTGACCATGAAGTACCACCGTCGATTCTAGTTGCTAAATGTGGAAGTTAACACGTCAAACCGACTCATTGATGTGACCAACAAATAATGTAATAATATGAGGAAAAAGTCAATTATTCCAGTGTTAGGGTTTAATTTGTTTCTGTTGTTAATACTTTCATTAAGCTGTCAGTGCATGGATTGTTTTGTGCAGTGATGCTAGCCTGAACTGTCAGATACCAGAAACCATCAGCCGCCGTTTGGATTGCAGCTGAAAGCTGGAGTATGGAGGTCCCTGTGAAACACTAAGGTCTCTGGAGAGGTGTTTTAATGGGGATCAGGGAAAGGCTATTGTGCTTAAGAGGAGTGCAATTTTTCTGCTGCATTTCAGTATGACCTCAGGAAATGTTAACGTTTAGAAAGAAAAATCATCTAATTCGTCTCTCTTAAAGCCTCGTGTCTGTGCAGTGAGGCAAAGCTTACTTTTTATCACCAGGATTCCATCTCCAATGACCAAAACAGGATCGGCGGTTTGAATTCCATGCCTAAGTAATCACCAAGGCCACACTTTTGCTGACTAACGTTAAGTCCTTTTGAAAACGGTAAGACGTCACTTGCAGCTTCTTCTCTACCACTCAGAACACTCGCCTTCTCTTTCAGGATTCCATATCTGTTGTTCGATCCTCTTAAGTCCCCATCTCATGTCATCTGGGCACTGATCTCTGGCACCTGCCCTCATCATTTTTTTCTACAAGCTTTAGCACTCACACACAGCAACTTGTCCGGAATGTGAATGAGGCTGCTGCCAAAGGTCATTTTCAATGACCCGTCAATCGTAACTCTGATTTTTTCACCGTGGACAAATGACATATCTGCAGTGCGGCGTCTCACAAAAATATGCATGCGTGTGCCAACACACATGTGCATGCATGCAAACATAAATGAGTAAACACACCAAAACAAAACCAAAAAAAAGCTGTTCTTGCTGCTTATTATGTACCAGCAGTCTACTCCTCACAGCAGTAAATAAATAATGAGAACGCTGTTAAAATTCTGCCAGTATTCCATCGCTCGGCTCCTATCAGCCCCCTGTTTCCCTCTATAGGAAAAGAAAGCCTCAGTGGAAAGAAAGAGGGTGTTTTTCCTTTTGTTTTTACATGTTTTATCCCCCAGCTTTAATCTCGCTCCCCTGTTCATCCTCCTCCTTCTCTCACCCCCCCTCGAAAAACTTCTGTGTGTTCTCTCAGCTGGCTTTCTTCGCACTCATGTATGCATAATATGTTCCATTAACACTTTTGCAAGAAGAAAAAGCTCAGCTCCTCCATATTTTGCATGTGGGTGATGTGGACGGACACGGCAATGTGGAACGGAGATGGGAAAGCCGGCGGACATAAAGGTGCTTTTGCTCCGCTTCCTTCCTATTTTTCCAGAAGAGGAGAAGTCAGGAGGCGCAGCAGAGTAGAGGTGGACCTCAGTGGAAGAAAGAAAGGGCGTTGACCTCCGGGTTGCTTGACTTTTGCTCAGTGATTAAGGGAATAACGTGAATAATGTGAAATGGCATAGCTTTGGTATTTAGGCTGGAAATGAGAATGACTCTGAGCCACACGAGACAGTCTGCCCGTTCAGATGTGCTGCTCTCTGCTTTTCAGCCTCTTTTCGACCGGGCAGTTGATATTTCAGAGTTGAATAAAGCAACACGCTGACCTTTAGTGCGCCCGTGATGAAGATCTGGCTCTGTCAGGCTGCCACGCGAGTGTAAGAGAGCAACATGAGGAGGAGATGTTTGTGAGTCTCACTGTCTGGCGCGTTGGGTGGATCCGGCATTATGGGCAGAAATCTGTGTAAGCCTGTTGAACCACACAGCCACCGTGAAATCCTGTTTCAGCCTGGCTCACAGTAAACATCACAACAGGGGAGAATTAATGTGTGTGTGTGAGTGTGTGTGTGTTAGTGTGAAAGAGAAATAAACGCAAAAGACACAAAACAAGAGACGCGACGCCAGGCTTCTCTTCATCGGAGGGCAGGTGATAAACGGCTGAGGTGGTGGATCTTTGACTAAATTCCTCCCTCAGTCCCACAGACGGGTTTTCTTGACAAGCCCGGAGGTATTTGGCAAAAGCATACAGTGACTGTGCCAGGAGAGCCTTTCTTTAATGGAAAATCTTAGTTTTTTTCTTCTTATTTTTTTCTAAAAGTGAGGGTAATGCAACACCAAGAACGACAGGAGAGGAATTTCAAGCACATAACGTCTCCCAGACTGGGCAGATATTTAAACCAAAAGCCTTCCATGCGCCTGTGCCCAACCAGCCCCCACATACCCGCCTCCATCCCTCCATCCCTCCACCCTCGGCAGGTCATTTTGATTACTGCAGAAAACCCTCGCTCCGCCACGTCTGCTCTCCCACACATCTGCATTTGCATTCCCCTCTCTGGGCTCTCTCTCTCTCCTCCACATCTTTCTCCGTTCAGCCTGTCACACCTGTTATTCACTTATTTTCTCCTTTCATCGCTGACGCTCCCTTTACTTGGTGCGTGGCAGCGCAGAGCCTCATCTAAATGCACAGGCGGTCGCCGGCGCTCCACCTGCTCTGGGCACCTTCCACTGCCACGAGAAAAAGTGCAGCCATCCCTCTCTTTATAAATCATTTTGTAAAAAAATACAAAACACACAAAAAAACCCAAGCTGAAGTAGAGTGCTTTAAACAGCACAAGATGGATGACAGATGGATGAACTTCTCTGTGTCTGTGATGATGCTGTGCAAGAGAAGCTTGTTATTTGACTTTTGTGCCCGGTTTGCTTGTTATCTCCGGCTGTCCTGCTCAGACTGAATGCACAGACTTTCCGGTCCTCGCTCTCTCGCCTGCAGACGAGCAGAGAGAGGCAGGAGAGAGTAAGGAGTGAGGGGGGGGGTGGGAGGATAGCAAATGAGGTGTGGGTAAAAATTATGGGGGGGATAGAAAAGATTGCGGTAGCCCAGCCCTGAGTCTGGAGAGCAAGAGGGTGGAGGAAAGGCAGAGGAAGAGCTAAATCAGGGAGTGGAAAATCCAGAATTTCCAGATTTAGGAGCAGTGCAGCGTGCTGATCTGAGAGCTCCATCACCGCTGGGGAAGAACCGCCTTTTGTGCTTCCCTCGCTGCAGTGGGGGAGTGCGTTTACCACCGTGCCCAAGGGGAGAAAGCAAGAAGTATCCTCCAATCAGCCGTTAGTGATTTTCCCGATCCTGCAGGGCTACTGATGGGGATTCATCACTGACCTGAGACAGACACTGCTCAACACCCCAGCTACCTGTGATGCTCACAAGGGGTTTTTATTTCTTTTCTGTCACGTAGAATGTGGATATTTGGCATGACCGGAGGACAAAGAGAGGATTAAACTGGACATGCTGCCGATTTACATTTTGTTTTTTGCAGACTGAAGATGGACTAACTTTTACATGTGTGTTTTTCTGCCATAGGAGGACTGTTTTTTTTTTGTCCATGCCAGCCATTGTTTGTCATGTCGAGAGGTATATTTTCATTTTTTCTGAAAGCATGGGAGGTAGGCAATCCCCATAGACACTCCGAAACATCATGTAGGACGGACACGGGCAGGCAGAGGTGAACGGGGGACGGAGAGAGGCGATGACAGTTGGAGCACACCTGCCTGCTGAGTGCGTCTGGCACCTCGCTGTAGTCTGATTGGCCACCTGCTCTCGGCGGTTTGACTATCTAGCTGTGTTCGCCGACTTTTCATGCTTCTCATTAGGAGGGGAAAGCTCTCCCGTGGGTGTGCTAGGGAGCGAGGTCCTCTGTGTTGGGATTACACGGCTGCTGGAAGGATACAGGTGTAGTGAAGCCTTGAATGAGGATTAGCTGTAACACCTTGTCGATGGCAGCAGAGGAGGTGGTGGACTCTCCTGTTCCGGCCGCGCACTGGAGGATTAAAGATAAAGGTTTCAGCAAAGCGATGAGACTCAGAGGGAAGGGGGAAATGCATTAAGATTCTATGTCCCTCCAGTTCTGCTTATCCTTGACTGACTGGGCCTGATCTTTGAGCAAATGAGACTGACTGTATAAATAAACTGAGGCCATTTATAATAGTTTTATAAGTAGCAGTGTAACACTGACAAAAGAAAAAAAGCTTATTTGGAGGTTTAAGACAAAGAAAAAAAAGCTTTGGAAAGTTCAATTCTAAGCTCTGGGATAATCCAACGATCACAAGTGAGCCAAGACCTGTTTTTGTATTGATTCCCCCTCAACATACAAGAGTCTTATCTGATCATTGCTCAAGAGGACACAGATTTCATGATAATCTATCATTCCTCTCCCTGCAGCTGTTTAGCAGCTGGTGATGCTATAGCGGAGCACCACAGGTTCAGTAATTCTCTGGTGCCGGGCGGCCGGACAGATCCATCAGCAGCACCAGACTTCATCAGTATAACTCACACCTCTCGCACCGGGTTGAGAGGCCGTGTGATGAAATACCTCTCCACTGATGGCAGAGAGGGACCAAACGTTTTTTTTGTCTGGTAGAGCTTGCGGTGGAAAGTGTTGAGTGTTGTGATCTATCCCGACACAGGTGCGTTTTGGCCTTATCTCCGCTGGGCAGCCGGGGGCTTCCAAGAACAGGCTAATGGTGTCAGGGGCGCCACCGCGCACCACTCCGCCCGTCCCGTTCCTAAACTCAGCGAGTTTGAATGTAATTACAGCCGAAAAACAGCTTTAACTGCGCAGGTTAATCCTTCAGTGGGTGACCGTGGCGGGGAAGGGTGCTGACAGGGCTCTCAGAGGGGACACATTATCTCAGCGGCCACATTCAGAAGTCCATCAGGAAAGAGGGAAATCACAGAAAAAATGCTGATGGGGAGAGCAGTGTGGGAGTGAAGAAGGGCTGAGGCAAGTTCTTTGATATTTGCATTGTTTGGAGCCGCGGTACTGCGAGTGTGGGGGAGTTCTGCTACAGAAGAGTTCTGCTGGGAGCACCTGCTGCGTACTGCAGTTTTAGACTTCAGCGTTCTGAGGGGGGCTGCATAGAGCAGGTATTCTGTTTCACTGTTGACTGGATGAGACTTCAGCTGTCAGCTGCCGGATCCGTTAAAGAAGCACACACCAGCAAGGCATTTACAGCACATCTGTTGTTTTTTTTAACAAATCCAGTCAACGGTTTTTCCCGCGATAGCAAAGAAACACTCACCTGATGCTGGATCACCTGCAACAAGCACACAAACTTAAGCTGAAGTTCTTGTTTCTATTTTTGTTTTTTTCCCTGAAATGGAAACGAGATTGAATTTGACTTTGGATTGTGATGTTTGAATCATAAGCACAAGAGAAGGCACAAAAAAAGAGCACAAACGCAGAGCCAATTGAACGGTGCTCTTCCTCCTCGGGATGCGCGGTGCGTTGCTCTGAGGACCGCTGTTACACACTATACAGCCCCAGCGAATGAGGGTGGGGCTCTCCCACTGCCACAGACAAAGACTCCTGCCGTGAGAACTGGCCATCAGTTGCTGGACCTGCGCCGTCCGGCGCCCTGTCAAAAGTCACAATGGGGTGCAACATGTGCGTGGTTCAAAAGCCCGAGGAACAGTACCGGGTCATGTTCCAGGTGAGCTCTCCTGTCTCCTCTCCCGCGTCTGTCTGCTCTTTTGTTTGCTGTCCTTTTCTTCTGTAACATCTTCCAGTGAAGATGCTGAATCAGGGGCAATCCCAGAAATGATGACACTCTCATTTGTAGCAGAAAAACAGCAGAATTGCCACAAGCCAGCAGTCATTTAACAAAACCATTCACTCAGTAAATTCCAGATATGGATGCACAATTGAGGTTCAGTATAGACAAACTAGTCAATTATACTCATGGACGAAAACAAACGGTGCCAGCAGGAGATTTATAAATAAATCTAACTGAAACATCAGCAGCAGATCGCGTAGTTAGAAATATGACAACAAATACATTATTAAATCAAATAATTAAATGCCCAGAGCCTGATGAATCTCATACAAATTCCACATCAATGAACACATCTAACATTTTTATCTTTATTTTTGCAGGACATTTATGTCTTATTGTGAATGTTATGCTGTGCAATAATTAATTAGGAGATCTAAAGCAACACTTGAACTGAGCACAGCCTCGTCATTTAGTGAGGATGATACCAATGATTGTAATAATGATGCTTCACAGTGCTTGGGATGATAGGATCTGAGCGAATGGAGCAAAAATAGACTTGTAGTACAGACCTCCAGAGGCAGAGGGATGGATGCGTTGTTAAACTGGGCTAAAGTGAGGAGAAGGGTTGCCACGGATACAGCCTCAGCACCACATGCCAACTGAGACGGCAGACTGTGTGCCGGTAGCCTTATCTGCCAGAAATGAAGCTCCTGCTTGCAGAGTCGATGATGCATCCACGGCCAAAATAAGTCCCATGCTTACTAAGCATGAGAAATGCTCAGCACCCCGCGAGCACGCCATGCAGCATTTCCAGGATCTGTGGCGCCAGAAGCCTCAGCTGGATGTCTGTTGCATGCGAGGGGTCCGGGCCAGTTAAGTGGACTGCATCTGGTGCCAGAGGGAATGCCAAAGGAGAGGAAAAAACAGGAAGAGACTGGGTCCAAACAGAAGCATGGTAATGAGCTGAAAAGGGACTCGAAATATGCTAATGAAACCGGGGGAGAAGGCCAGGTTGTTTTTCTTTATTAAGGCATTTTTTGTTTGGCTGTTTACCCTTCAGAGTAATTGATAGGAGCTTTTCGTGGAGGAGGGGTGAAAAAAGAAAGCTCAAGGGGAACTCACAAATCTCCCGGGTGGAGGTTGAGGACAGAGCCTTCACATAGACCCCAGAGCGTCGCCAAATCACTCTGCATCAGTGACCTTATGTAACGGGGGTTAGCAATAATGACTCTGCCCCAGAACTGGCCAGTCTCCTTCAAAGTGGAATTTCACCGATCTGACAACGTGAGGTCAACTGCGCCCTCAAGGTTGGGTCAGCAGAAGCGGGTCATTTAAAAAGACGTATGCAGGCGGTTACCAGACGGGGCGTGGCAGTAACCGCCCGGAGAAGGGCCGGCCGAACTGAAGCATGGCCGGGAGCTGTCACGTTGAGTGGAGGTAAATGTGGGAATGGCAGCTGTCAGGTGAACAGACACTTTGGGACCTGTTCGTGTCTTCCGTGGTTCGGCACGGCTGAACCAGCACCGGTGTGGTGAGAGGAGAGAAATAACGCAGTTGACATAACAAAATAGGGGAAGGAGCCCCTGGCTACGAGAGCTGTCAGAATGTAATGAAACCTGGGGGTCTGACATGAGAAGCGGAGGCTGGTGTGCATTAAATTGGAAAAAAAAAAAAAAAAGAGAGGAGGTGATCACAGAAATCCTGCTGATTTGGCCATAAATTGTATTCCCACTTATTACATGTAATTATTACTCCTCATGCAGCCCACGTTTTACTCGCGTCCCATGCTTTTTATTTCCCCTTTGGAGGTTTGTAGCTTTGAGCTGTTTTTCTTAACTAACATGCATAATTACAACCGCAAATTAGATGCGTACGTTTTCGGGCAATAAATACAGCACTGAACAGCTTAAGGCTACACTGTGCTGTAAAGTCAGTCTATTAAATTAACCCATACCTAAGAGCTTGATTTTTTTAACCAAAGGAATACAAATTCCTGCTTTACACACTGAGTCTTTGCAACACATTAGCTTCACTGGGTACACACCCACTGGAATGTTTCCCAATCAATATAATCTCCAATGGCCCCCAAGTAAAGAGAAGATACGGCCATTAAACTGATAAATTAGACTGTGCTGTGGACACCAGAACCCATTTTAAGCGAGATGTTGCTTTTACAGCGCGCCTAACCAACCCACACACAGTGAACCTGTACCCCCCCCCCCCCCCCCCCCCACCACCACCACCCCCCCAGAGCCCTGCGGCCGCTCCCTTCTTTCTGCTTTCTGTCTTCCCAGTCACTGGAAAGCAGAAGGCTGTTTCCATGGAAACAGGCGTCATTAAACAAACCCAATGTGCCTTCATTCACAATGACAAGGAGAAACACGCTGACAGTCACGAGAGGAGAAACATTTCAGAATCTTTACGTTGCCGGTGGCTCACAGGTAATATTGGAGAGCGTGGACCAGGTGTGAGGAAGCAGGCTAAACGTCACATTGCAATGAAAAAAAACAAAAAAACACTAGTCCTCGCTCCTCCAGATGATCCCCCTGTTGATGCCTTGCAATGGTACCCCTTGATTGAATTAGAAACAAAACGACTGAGCCCTTCAATTACAGACTCTGTGAATTTCTATTGTATCTTAAAACCTGCAAGCACGGCCGTTTATTTCATTTTATTTCTGTTTACATGCCATAATTTGCTCTGGAAGGCTTCCCCTGAAAAATGACAGCGACTGACAGCTCATCAATAAGCAGCAGCTAACAGGAGGTTCTGGTGTTGCTTTATCCCGGGTGATGGTGTTAAAAAGCACCTCTGAAATGTGTTTCGGGGGTGCTCGGTATTTTGAAATGCCAAGTGCGAAACAGAGGCAAAAACAAACAGCAGTTTATTTGAACGCCTGACAGACTGCTCAATACCCTTTGGAGTGTCGGCTTACCTTAATGTCAACAGTGTATCTGTTTTTGCCAGTGAAGTGCGAGCCCATGTGCATGGCGTGTGTGTGTGTGTGTGTGTGTGAGTGTGTGTGTGTGGCCGTGCATGGGCCTGTCAGGTCAATGTTCTTTCATTCACAGACTTGACAGGAAGACGGAACAAAAAAAAGGCTGCTGATAGGGAGCGGGTGTCACCCTGACTGTTCATTTAGTAACACTGGTCTGACCGAGAGCACGAGTGTAAGGTCACACTCTGCCCCCGACGTGTTGTCAAGGCTTTTTAAAGATCGCTCAAGATCTGTTTTCATCCGTCACATTCTCCGCGTTCCCAGTCTCTCCATCGTGAAACACTCAGCCCACAACAGATCCTTTGTTCACACTGATTAATATGTCGACAAATTGTGTGTGTGTACTCTCACCGAGGCGTGGAAGCCGCGTCACCGTAATTTCAAGAGGCATCTGAAACCTTTGAAATCGATATTCTCTCCCTGCTTTTCAGTTTTTTTTATATTCCCTCCACTCCCTGCTGGCCTATTTAAATTCGCAATATCAAACAATTGGTGTTAGAGCCGGAGTGGGTCAACTCTGTCTCCGGATTAATTGATTTTCTGAGGAGGGGACTGCCGCAGCCTTCAAAGCACGGGAGATGAGAAAAATCCATTTTCAAACAAGCGGAATTCAATATGTCGAGTGAGGACGATTCCATGCTAGTGAGAGTCCCGCGTGGAGCGTGTGCACGTGTGAACGAATCAAAGCGGGCGGCAAACTCTGTGCTGCACACAGGAACTTTTTCTTTACCCATAAATGAAGAGAGGTTGTCATTGCACCCCCCACCCCTCTTTATTGTTATTCTTTTTCATCCCAGCCTGTTGTACAGCGCCATTTGCTCTTTAAAGGACATTCAGATAAAAACTAATTATGCATCAACGGCGTAGTAATCCCCCCAGAGCCCCCGTTGGGTCTGTTTACAGCCAAACACTGAACCCACACACACACACAGACACACACACAGACTCTTTTAAGAATTGCCTGGCTTTTCCTTAAAAGCTTGTGTGTTTCTCTTGCATCATTACCCCCCCACCCCACACCCCCCACCCTAACACTGTTCCTCCTCTCTTTCCATTCACTCCTTCTGTGTGTCTCCTGCTTTGCGCTCTACACTTTGAACTCTTTGCATCTCTTTTATCTCTATCCACATCATCCCCACCCTCTGCTGCACAGCCGCCTCTCATACCCCCCCACCCCAACCCCCCCCCCCCCCACTCTGAATCCTAGAGTATTTTCCTAAATTTGGATTCTGTTTAAGACACGTTTTTAATTGCATGGGCATGGCATGCAGGGACAAGTGTCCATAAGCTTGTGCAGTTTATGAATAGCAGACATATCAAATGACCTACTAACCAACAGACAAGAGAGAGCAGCACGTAGGAATTGTGTAATGGATTCTCTATCAAATCGGGTCCAAAAAGATGTCAAACACAGACGAAGCATCATCCTGCATGAAGTCATCTTCAAAGCAATCTCAGCACCTCTCATTTAAAATGAATGAGAAACCTCCCTTCTTTCCCTCCGATTAGTATTCATACCCGTCACTCAGGACCACAGAGATGTCTCCTAATAGCCTCTCTCTGATCGTGGAGAGTGCAAAGCGCTAATACAAAACACAGCTCCCGCTGCTAGTAGAGGAGAAAGATCATGGGTTCCGAGGCTGGAGATAATGCACAATGCAGAGCATGCAAACAACAGGGCCCATTCCCTTCATCCCCAATCTGCAGTGCAGCCAGGAAGCGTCTTATTTGTCGCAAAGAAGCTCGTTAGAACAGACAGCAGGATTTATGGGGGAACTTCAGGGCGAGGTAGGACAAACACACGGCAAAAGCGAGGGGCTGAAATGGATGGAAATAGAGGAGGGCGAGTTGTTCCCTCCAGGGAGGGGACAGAGCAGACAGAACTGCTGAGGCAGCACCACAGAAGAAACCCGGAGTCTGGAGGAGAGAGGAGTGGAAAGAAGAAGAAGAAGCACGTGGGGGGGAAAAGCAGAGCGAGAACGGAAAGCGAAGGGTTTGATTTTGGAAAAAAAAGATGCACAGATAGACTAAAGCCATGATACTGTGCAGGGTTTAGGTTGGGAAATATGTAAGAAAATAAAGCCACCAAAATGAGGAAATAAAAGCAGATTATTGTGTTCGTTTATGTGCTCGGATGCACAAGGGAGCATTGATTTGACATGCAATTACGGGAAGGGGGTGAGAGATGAGAGAGGGAGTGGGAGAAAGAAGCGGGGTGGTGAAGATGTGTTGCAGGCAGCCAAGGTCAGTGTCTGAATGATGCCGTACAAAGAGCGTCTGGCTGAGGAACTCCTCGAATATTTCACCACAGCCCCGGTGTCACTGTGCGCCTGTCCCACATGTGATGACATCAAGGCAAGTGGAATTGCAATGTGCTGGAAAAGTGGGACAATGTTTCCATATAAATGAATGGTAAAAAATTAAAAAAACATTCAGTGGCAGCAGCTGTGAGAGGCTCCTCTTTAACGCAGCACTGCTCCGAGCTAATGACGTTCTTAATGTTTGTGACGACAAGCTTTTGATTGTGTCCTCCACTTAGGCAGTTTATTGTGCTAGCACGCTAACTCAACTGTTTACAAGCCCAAAGCACCGTCTGGTGGTGGTAATAAACAAAGCAAACCACTGAGCAAAACAGTCATGGATGCTAAATGAATCTCCCACCAATTAGTCCCTTACAGAACACACGTGGTATGAGGCATTTTGTAGTCCAAATACCCCCCCTGTTTTGGTACCATCCCTATTTTTCTTTTTTTTTTACCATCCCTAGATTGAAGAATTCTCCTTTTTTTTCCTGACCTTGTTTGCAGCGTGCGGAGGGAGAGGCAAAGTTTCACGAGGCACATGATTTATAATGCTGGTGCAAAAAAGAAACGGTCACACTGCGTATTTTAGGACTTCATAAATCACCATACAATGACAAAACAAAGCCAAGGAGCGCAGAGGAAAATGGGATTTACAAAAACATATTTCACAGATAAAAGGGTGCGAACAAATTACGGCAAGTTTCCAGTTTCTCCTCGTCTGTCATCACAGCCCATCACAGAGCAAATGACCAGGCACAGCCACTCTCACTCAGGGGAGAATTTAGGCTAAGCTATTATCTTGCTTATTCCAACACTGGAAATGAAAAAGTAAAAATAACTACAGCTGATTTAAACTGTGTGTATCATTTTTACAATGTATACATACATTTTTTGTCACTGCCTTTTTGGAAAAACAAACAACTAAATGATGTATTAGATAACAAGGCTACAAACAACTAATAATACTTTCCAAAAGCAAATCTGGATGGATTAATCCCAGAGAGACAGAGGTCTTTTTGCTCGTGGCACTTTCAGAGATGGTGGATTCTAACTTTTACCAGATAAGATTCTCGAGATGGAGGTGTTTTTTTTTCTTTTTCAAGAAAACCTTTTAAAGGACGAGATGCTTTATCTACTGTGTGATGGACAGCAGATAAAGCATGAAGTGGTCGATTCTTGCACAATAGGTGACACTTTTTTTTCTACTGTAAGATATCCCAACACATTTGGAGTTTGCAATCTACTCTAGGGACAAGATGTCATTAGAGACTTAAGAGAAATCTCACTTTGCAGAGCCAAGGCTGAAAACCAATATTCAGCGACTGGGATATTAAAGGCTTTATGAGGCGCTGAATAAAGCCGTGCGGGATTGAGTTAACTTGGCTTATCTATGATTTGCGGGTAGAAACTCTGATGTACTAAAAAAAAAATGTAAAAATGAAAAGAAAAGAAAAGAAAGGAACTCATAAAACGTGGAAAATATCATTTAGTTTAAAAGGGTCTCATTCTGAAAAAAGAAAACATGGAAAAAGATGAGAAATCAACCAGCAGAATACAGAAATTGTAAAAAACAAACAAATACTGTTTTTGTTGCCACGCCCTCTAAAGTGTGTAAATCTGATTCTTTTCTGCAGGCAGACATCAGCCCGAAAAATGTTTAAATGTGATCGCGAGCTTTCACTTTTATGACCAAAAACTCTCAGGAACCTGCTTTTCTGCTCTCCCACTGTAAATATTTGCCAACTTGGTCACTTCTCTGCTTTCTCCCTGTCTCTCCACAGAAGGGCCGCGTGGGCAACATGCTGTGCTCCTTTGACGCCGACGGTCGATTAAAGGTCCCGGCTCTCAGCTCTCTGTTGTTGGTGTGATGTGCTGTTGAATCCATTCATAGGAATAGTCTCTTTCATGGTTTCACGTGATTAATGGAAGGCTCACATTTGATATTGATGAATGGGTTTGTGTGAGTGTTATTGTGGCTTCACTGATTTGAGCTATGTGCTGCTCTAAGTTCCCCTGCTGTGAAAGAACTTCCTGTTTAATCTGACTGCCTGTGTGAGAGTACCACAATTTTTGTAGGATTTTGTAGAAGAAATTTCTACAAAAAGCCCTCACATTTGTGAACGCACCATCAGTTTCTTAAATCCAATTTCCTGGCCAAAAACTCTATCCACTTTTTCTTTTTTTTTAGATGAATGGAAAGGATCTCTCTTGTCTCTCCGGGGATCCCACCCTGGACCTACGGGACCCTGTGCTGTCCAACATACTGAAGCGGGGGTCCCGCAGGCGGGCGGTCCCGGCCGGGGCTCCGGGGGGGCATGTGCCGGTGACCATGGGCATGGCCGACTGCGTGGACAGCTGCACCCAGACGGACATCAGCTTCCAGCACATGCTGACTCTGGGCAAGAGCAGCCAGCACCCCTGTGGGGCTCCGCCCCCACCTGACCCCCCGCCCTCCCCGCCGCTGCCGCCCCTCCTGGAGCCGTATCTGCTCAACGAGCTGTGAGTGGGAATAGTCTAATAGGTCTCTATGTGGAACCATTGGACCACAGCCCATCCGCTGTGCTCATCCATGCCGTTCCCATCGCTGGCCCCCAATTACTAACACGCGTTCTCCCTCTCAGATTCCCTGAGCCCGTGTACTACGACCCCACCGACTACTTTGATATCGCTCAGCATGAGGTGGACAGGCAGGACGAGCTGGAGTACGAGGTGAGAGCGCGCCGGCCGCCTAAAAGCTGTTCCGCTCCGTTTGCTCTCCGCCTGACGTCCATTAACATTTCTCCGACCGCACAAGGAGGTGGAGCTGTACAAGTCCCGGCACCAGGACAAACTGGGCCTGACGGTGTGCTACAGGACGGATGAGGAGGAGGATCTCGGCATTTACGTCGGGGAGGTGAAGCTGGTCATAAAAGCAAAAACTTTCTTTCTTTTTTAAAAGTACAAATGGCTCATCTTGTCACACATTTGCAGGTGAACCCAAACAGCATCGCTGCCATGGATGGCCGCATCCGCAAAGGAGACAGAATACTGCAGGTATCCCAAGTAAAATATCACCCCCCCCCAAAGTAAATCCTGCATCCTGAGTGTTCGATCAAACCTGGTCCACAGCTGTATGGCAATTTTTAAAAATCAGGAATCCAATTTGAACACTTATGTCTTTTTTTAAAGCCCATTTCCTGGAGTGTGCAGTTGAATCAATGCTGTCCACAGTGTAAATGTTTTGACAAGTTAATCCTCTTGTTTCTTCATCAGATAAATGGAGTGGACATCCAGAACAGAGAGGAGGCGGTGGCTATTCTCACCAGAGAGGACAGCACCAACATCTCCCTGCTACTCGCCAGGCCCGAGATAGAGGTGAGGGAATTGGAATTACGGGCTCTGAGGAGATGGTCGAGTGGCTCAGAGCGTTTACTGATTTTAAACAGCAACGTTTCCCTTTTTTGATACATGTAATTACATGGCAAGAGGTTATTCCTCCACTTGGACGCGGGGGAGAGGAGGGAACGGGCATGCTACCAGATGCTGTGGCTAAAAATAAACCCAAAGTCGTCTCCCCTCCACTACAACTGGAGCTGTCATAGGGAAGACACTTTTCCCTCGAACTGTTCAAAACAAGATGTATTTTAAACTTTCTGTGCCGTCATGAATTTTAGACATTTAACCTGCTAACAGACACCTGAGCGTCTCCTCTGTGCGTTTTAACCTCGTCTTACACCCAGCAAGGAGCAGAAGATTTTTATTTGTTTTTCCTGCAAACCCAAAGAAGCTTATTGATACGGCAGTGGAAATGAAATTGTTATGATTAGGAGTGTAGGCCGCTGCTTTTTCCCAGGCTGAACTTTACTTGGGCGTCTTGAAAAAAAGCAAAGAGGAACAAAAGCATGATGAGGCCAGAGATAACACTGAGAGAGAGAGAGACAATGATAGATTGTGTTTGGAACCACCGTGATAACACAGAGCCCCTTGGCTTCTCACAAGGTCACTCTTAACAGGCGAGGGGGGGGGGGGGGGCACTGTAACACCATAATACACCTCTATCAAGTGAGTCATAAACACACAACTTTGCATACATTGACCCTTTCCAACGGATTAGCGAAACATGCACTTACAGAGGCGGGCTGCAAAAAAGAGGTGGGCATGAGAACAGAATAATCTGCATTCTCTCCAAGCCACGGGAAAGATCTAAAAGGCTCTCATTAAAACGGCCCAGGTCAAAGACTCACGCACAGAGAGCCATTCATCGCCCCGAAAGGCATCCCTGCACGAGCAGAAGCACCTGCAAAAGGGCCGACAAGATTTATATCGCCCGGGCGCCGTCCTACATTAAGATTCAAGCCACAGAGAAGAAAGCAACGAGGACGAGGAATCATCAGGGGGAGAGGCAGGAACTCCGATTAAAGCTCCGGCTGTTGCCGGGGAGCGGGGGATTGGTGGAGAAAAGACAAAGAGGTGAAAGGCTGCGTCCAAGGGGGAGAATTAAAGCGAACATGATCAATATTTCGTCTGGCGCTCTGCATGCGGCTCGCGTTTGAATAAAACCAATCGGGCAGAATTTTAAAAGAGGGCGAGGAGGAGGGGTTGCAGAAGTCCAAACATTATGTCCATATTTGATCGGCCTGTTGATGAAGGCTGAGAAACAGAGGCCACAGGGAGAGGCCTCCATCTCTTCGTGCTTCTAATGCGTAGTTAGTCCTCCTAAATCAACCTGTTTGTTATCATCTGCAAAACATCACTCTGGGGGCCGACTGCAGTCTGGAGGTTGGGGATTTTTGGCCGTGCAGTCTCACAAAGCATCGGCTCCATCTAGTGACAGGGAGCAGAGCTGATTCTACACTCTGCAGAGCTCCAGCAGCCCCGCGATGAAGGATCGAAGAGTTATGGCGTCTTTATTATGTGAAGCTGTCCACTTTTGGTTATTAAAATGAATCTGAACAAATGACACAATATGCTTTGTTGTTTAAAGTCCATCTGTTCTCTGGAGTTGTGCCCCATAACCATGCTGGATTCAGCTGGATATGAGCATCATGATGGTGTTTAGGATTATATCACTGAGTGCTTCTGACGGCATTCTGTTCCATAATCAATAGTTCCTTCCATTTATTGGGCTCTGAGTTAGGCCTCCATGTGTTTGACAGATGTGTGGTGGCTTTGGATGGGGAGCAGTTTGCAGAACTTAACCATCCATCTAAACAGCACCATCCCATAGATGCTCTAGATGTTACCAGTATGTTTTAGTGGTGTCTAATCTGAGCTTTTTAAATCTTAAAATCTTGCAGCATTTCCTGTAATCCTTCGTGTAAACTCTCTTCTTTACATGGCAGTTTTTAGCTTCAAAGGGAAAGTTTGTTATCCGGTGTGCTCCATTAATTTTTTGTGCTATTTCATTCATTCTTTAAGGTTGTCTTTAAGTCACTGTCGATTATCAAGGCCTCCTAACATGGGTGTTTTCTCCTTTTTCTTCCTTTCTTTCCCCGTTTTCCCTCCAAGAACGACAACCAGCTGGATTTGGACGAGCTGGACCTGGAGCCGCTGGACAACGCCGTTCATTTGGGCGGCGGCCACAGAGAGAGGACCGGCCCCTCCGTCCTGGGCGCAGGGGCGGTCAGCGCCGCGGGCGTCCTCCAGAGCCGCGGCCACCCGGTGAACCGGGACTCCCCCGACCTGCTGAAGACGGTGCTGAGCAACAGCCAGGAGCTGGACAGCGGCGTGGGCCGCACAGACGAGAGCACCCGCTACGAGGAGTCCTCGGAGCACGACCTACTGGGCGATGACCACACCAGCGCCCCCAACACCAACGCCACCAACACGCCGGGCAGCATGCGCAAGTTCCTGTCCGGCCGGGGGGACACCCCGCCCCTGCTGCATTGCCAAGACCTCCAGTTCAGCACCGACTCCCTCCTGGGTCTGGACTGTTTGGGCGGCGGGGGGGGGGGCTGGAACAGGTGGAGAGGGCCTGGGCGCCGGACCCCGTGCGGACGATGATGATGATGCCCGGCCTAACCGAGGAGGAGTGCGAGAGGTACAAGGAGCTCCTGGAGATCAAGTGCTTCTACGAGAAGACCAGCTGCGCTATGGGGGTGGCGCGGGAGGAGGGGGGGGTCTCGCTGGATGAGAACCGGAACGAGAGCCTGACGCAGCACGAGATGGCGCTGATCGAGGAGGAGCTGCGGCACCTGGAGTTCAAGTGCCGGAACATCCTGCGGGCGCAGAAGATGCAGCAGCTCAGGGAGCGCTGCATGAAGGCCTGGCCGCAGGAGGACAAGAACGGGGCCGGCGGGGGGGCCGGGCGCCCGGAGATGACCGCTGGCCTGGGGAGCGAGGAGTCCTGTCACCACGCCCTGTCGGACATCAACGAGCTCCCGGAGAGGGAGCGCTCCGACAAGGACAGCACCAGTGCCTACAACACGGGGGGGGAGAGCTGCCGGAGCACCCCGCTGGTCAACGAGCACTTCCCTTCCACGCACAGCCTGGAGGCGGGGGGGGATCTCCCGGTGGAGGGCAAGCAGCCCCAGACCTCCCTCAGGCAGAAGGAGAGGGCAGCCAGGGCGGACAGAGGGGAGGGGGCGCCGGTCAACCTGAACCAGTCCCACAGGAGAGCCGCCGACCCCAGGACCTCCAGCCCCGGGGCCAAGGTCCGGTCCCTGACCCGCGACGCGGGGGCCCGGAGGGGCTCCGACGGGGGGGTGAGGCGCAACCCCAGGGCCGGCGGGCCGGCGGAGAGGGCGGGGGGGCGCAGCGCGGAGAACAGCCCCTACCTGTCCCGCCGCCAGCCCGAGGCGCGGCCCCCCCAGCGCTACCTGAGCTGCGTGCAGCTGAGGTCCCCCAGGGAGGGGGGCCTGGAGACGGAGGGCTACGAGAGCCCCATGAGCCTGGGCAGCACCTGCAAAGACGCGGGCCAGCCTCCCCCCCCGCCCTTACCCCCCCCGCCGCTGCCCGCCTCCCCCCGCATGGAGTGGAAGGTGAAGATCCGCAGCGACGGCTCGCGCTACGTGGCCAAGCGGCCCGTGAGGGACCGCCTCCTGAAGGCGCGCGCCATGAAGATCCGGGAGGAGCGCAGCGGCACCACCACGGACGACGACGCGGTCAGCGAGATGAAGATGGGCCGCTACTGGAGCAAAGAGGAGCGCAAGCAGCAGCTGCTGCGGGCCCGGGAGCAGCGGCGGCGCCGCGAGTTCATGATGCAGAGCCGGCTGGACTTCCTCAGAGAGCGGGACAGGGAGCAGGAGGCCGGCCCCCCCCCACCGCCGCAGGAGCCCACCTCCATCCTGGAGCTGTGCCACCGCCGCAGCATGAAGAAGCGCAGCCGGAGGATCCTGGACAACTGGATCACCATCCAGGAGCTGCTGGCCCACGGCAGCAGGTCCGCCGACGGGAAGAAGGTCTACAACCCGCTGCTGTCCGTCACCACCGTGTGAGAGTCGAGGATCTGAAGGGGGGGTCGCGCAAAGATTAAGCACAAAACCACGTGCTGGCAACATCTGCGTGTCCACAGGCATGAGGCAGCATGTCAGCGATGGAAATGGGCCCAACAGAAACCCAAAACTAAAGATCACAGACACCCCACGGGACTGCCAGGTTTTAGACTTGAACCCTAAGAATCCTTAGGAAAAAAACACATGAACTCCATCCATCTGAAGATCCATTTCAAATTGAAAAGTTCAGACATGAAGAATGAAGAACACAAACTGAATGTGGGCTGAGGGAAGTCCAAATAAAAAACTAAAAAGAAAAAAAAGAAATGACAAAACTCCTTTTTAAGCAGCTCACAGATGAAAAGTCACTTTTGCAGAGCTCCAATCTTTTTTTAACTGAGACAAAATGTGTCTGAGAGCCACGAAGCCGTGACAAAGCCTTCCCGGAGAAAAGTGACCTGTGTGCATCAGAGCGGCTTCGTGCACGCGCAAAAGGACTTTGGATGAAGCACATCTTTTCTAAGAACTGAGTGTCATTTACTCTCACAGTGCTCACAGCTGCCCTTTGTTTTCACCATCGCTGTCCAGCCACAGAGAAGCTGAGCGGTGTATAGCACAATGTTCAAAATGGTTTTATGAAGAAAGAGCTATTGTAGCTGATGAAATAAAAACACAGAAGCACAATCCTTACAATTCAAGCACAATTTTTGACAATTGAAAGTCTCAGAAGCATCAGAGTGGCTGCTTGACAAGTGGACGAAAGGCCTCACAGAAAGCTTTCGCCACCACCTGGATAACAAAGGATCTACCAAAAACTGACCGTTACTCAGTGCTTTCCCCCCTCACCTCCCATTAAAACCAGGAAAACTGCATTTTTCCCTGCTGCGTTTCAGACCTGCTGTCCAACCGTTACACAAACTGTGACTGGAGACCTTATATTGGACTACTTTATTCTAAGTTCCAATGATGGCCTGAAAAAGGTGTCTTCAACTGCTCTTATGAATGTAAACTAAACAATTTATAAACTCCAAACGGGCAAAAGCTGCTTTTTTCATTTGGCTTTCGTGCATGTTTGATATTGAGACCCAAGTGTTTTTCCATTAACTTCAACTCTGAAGGCTTTTAAGATCCTGTAATTGTGGGTGTCTTTCTATGGCTCTTTACTAAAACTCGTAGCATAGGGGAAAACTAAAGAAAAAAAAAAAAAAATTAAAACATGGGTGTGCTTTGTTTGTGTGTTGAATGTTGTGATTTGGTGTCTGCTATTTTACAGTCGAAGCTTTTCTAAATAAATGCTGTGATCATGAAATAAATTGCTGCCGCCTGCTCCGTTTCCTGGTTTGTGGTGAAGTCTCCGAGTGGAATAACGAGCCTGCATGTCCTAAACAATTCTAAACCTTTATTTTTTGCCTAACAAGAGTGAAAAGAAACAAAGGCAACAGTAAAATGAAAAGTTTATACACAAACTCACGACAGCTGAGTGTCTGCAATATCAACAATAATAATAATAATATAATAATCATTTGAACCCATAAACAACTTAAGTGAGTTACAGTGAGTTACCTTAATCTGCAAAGAGGAAATGAGGGGAGGAGAGGCAAAAGGAAAGGAATACAACATGGAGTCAAAAGAATAAGACTGAATAGGAAAAAAAGAGAGAGGGGGAAAGAAAAGAAGAACCCGAAAGAGGTACAGATATATTCTGGGAAAGTAGCACCAAAAACATTAATGCCTGTTTTTAACACTTCCCAAAACTGACTCGGTATTGAAAATGCAACTCCCGCCCCACCCCCCTCAAGACAGCTTTTAACACAAGATTAAATACAATTTTTAAAAAAAGAAAAAAAAAAAGTGTAACCATGGTGCTGTCGTCTCATCCTCTGCCGCGCGCCGGCCGTCTAAATAAACCCATAGCTTGTCCAACGTCAACGTGCGGGCTGAAGGGAGACTGCCACGGCCGCTCTGCAGGTCAGCTAATATTCAACACGGTTGGGAATACACAGCGTTAGCGACTGACCTCTGAGACAAACTACAACCAAAGACGCTCCTTTCTTTAGCGTGCCATTCGGTCCAAACACAGTTCTGTATAATGTTCGAGAGGGAAAAAAGACAAAAAAAACAAAAAGAGGTCCAGAAAGAGGAGGAGGATGACGGTCTGAAGAAATCATAGTGAATGAGATACTGCTGGGTTATCGATGAGACGGTGGAGTGTAGAAGAGTCACTGCTCCGTTAGTGTCTGAACACATGGATGAAGGGCTGTAGGGTATGCGGGGGGGAATGTCCTGCATCGTTCTACTAATTAACACAATCTTCTGGCACAGAAAGCTCTGCCCTTTAAATTTATTCAATGAATCCATTTCAACAAAGCTCCAGTGTTTACTGCATCACAAAACCTGGAAAAACAAGATCACCGTCAGCACATGTGCAGAAAAAGTCAGATTTCTACATGAAAAAAGGGGAAAGGCGAGCGTTACCTCTGGATGGGTCAGGGGCTGTGGGTGAGGGGAAAGGCTGTGTCTGAGAGGACATGTTTTCTTTGACTTGGCCACGTCCAGTGACTGCTCTCCAGCTCCCTCCCCAACGCCTCTGTGGCCCTTCCTCTTCCTCTTGGAGTCTTTGGGTCGCCCGCGGCTCACTCGTCTCTGCTCCTCCAGCTCGATCTGAGAGAGAGGACCACACGCTTTAAATGCAGAAGCTCAAAAAAAAATTAATACATAAGAAAACACCAATCTTTAACTAGATGCTGCTCTGCAAGAAACTATTGTGTGCTTTTAAAGAGAATCCACAATAAAAAAGGAGCAAAATACCAAAGCTGGAAAAAGTGCTTTAAGCTCATAGAAACTATTATGAATTAGATCCCCTTCAGAAATGTACATAAACTTCAACAGTGCTGCTCTTAAGCCTAATCGCCAGCCGACTGGCTGGTTTTTGTATAAAAAAGAGGCAGCACGCTTCATTCCCCATGCTTCCTGTCTTTTTCTGGGGGACTGGAGTGGAAAGTCTGGCTCAGCCCCATTAATCCTGACCTGAATGAGCGCGTGCAGCGTTTCTCTGGGTGGATCCGAGGCGGCTTGCAGGACCCTGTAGATGGTCTGCGTCTGGTCCAGGGACACCTCCAGCAGGTCTCCCTCCAGCTGCAGCTCCTCCAGCCGGAGCCGGGTGGCCGGCAGCAGCTCCACCACCCGGCCCTTCAGCAGAGGCAGCAGGGGCAGCAGGGCCTCCACGCCTGGAACAGACGGGGCCAGAGGCGGTCAGGGCGTCCGGCCCGCGGGCCGACGGGCGGCTGAGGTCAGAACAATCTTACCTGTAACGCTTGACTTCTTGCTCACGCCGTTTTCACACATGGCCTGCAAAACGGAAGCATGGCACACATTTTAGGGTTTTGTCTGTTCCTAATAAGGAATCCACACTAAAGTGACTGCCTTTACCGGAGTGCCGTTGCTTTCCTTGGCTTTCTTCTGAGGCGAGTTCTCCTGAGTCAGATCGATGACTCCATCCTCTCCCTCCCCGCCGTCAGAGTCTGACAGGACGATGACCGAGTTCCCTTCCGTCTCCTTCCCCGCGCCCCCCTCCTGCAGAGAGTCCTTGAGTTCCTGCAGCCTCTGGAGGGCCTGCTGCAGCTCGGGGGTCTCCAGCGCCTCCTTGGCCCGGCCCTGCCAGGTGATGGCCCTCTCGGTGAGGCACTGCAGCGCCTCCCCCTCGGGCAGGCGCACGGGCAGCCTCTGCAGGGCCACCAGCAGCGCCAGGATGGTCTCCAGCCGCGGGCGCCGCGAGCGCTGGCACTGGGGGCACAGGAAGCGCGAGTCCCAGTCCCACCAGCACAGGCGGCCGGCGGGCCGGCCCGAGCAGGGCAGCAGGGAGGGGAAGGGGACGCAGGCGCCGTGGAACCAGTCCCTGCACAGGGGGCAGCGGAGCTGGGGCGCGCACGGCGCCCCGCCGCACACGCACACCGACTGGGGAGGGGGCGTGCGGCCGTGGCTGCCGTTCTCTTTCACAGAGTTCTCGGAATGCTCGGATGTGTCCATGCTGTCGTCCCACCGCCCGTTCTCTTTGCCTCCCGCTGCGCTCAGTCCCGATTTACACATGTTGACGTTCTGCAGCCTCAGCAGCGCGGCCTTCTCCTGGTGCTCCCCCTCTTTGAACGCCCTTACCTAAAGAAAAAAAGTGACGCTTAGAAAATAAATCACCTTTGTGCACTTTAATTACAGGATCTATTCAAGTATTATTTGGTTCGATTACACGTAAGTGTGTTGTAAAGATTTTTTTAAAGGCTCTCACAATAGCT